TATTCCAACTACGCGCGTGGGCGCATCCCGTTCGATAACTCATAGGGTTTGGAGCGGAGTAGTTTCCAATCCGGTTTTGGGGTAACAGGGTTATAGTATCAAGTGGATCGGAATACTATTCCGCCGAATGACACAGTCATCATGTCATGTAAGGAATCTTTAGAGGGGTAGAGGATCTCATCATGGGAAATTGAAGAAACGTTTGTCCCGATTGTGTATTTCCTCGAAGTTCCGCTTTTCGAGCGTATTCGCGTGCGCTAGCGTCTGGTAGCCGATGAAAAGGCGCAGATCTAGCGTCGGTTAGCGTCGTGTCGATGTGGCTTCGACTGGCGTCGTTCGGGGTCGGTTAGCGTCGGTTCGCAAAAGCCATCCACACTACGCGGGAGGCTCCCATGAGTTGCCACAGAAAGCTTCTGGAGCCCCCCTTCCAGTCGGACGCCCTCGCGCCGCGTTCTTCCCCCTCGTGCCCATGACGCCTCACGGGCCCTCCTCCTCCTCTTCCTCCTTCTCCTCCTCCTCCTCCTTCTCCTCCTCCTTCTCCTCCTCCACCTCCTCCTCCTCCTCCTCCTCCGGGCCGTCCGTGGAGTCTCTTCCCCAGGCGGAGCGGCGGCGCAGTGGCGCGCAACGATGGCCCCAGCACGGCCGAAGATCATCCCGAAATGCCCCAGCAGGCTCCCAACAAAAGAAGGGCCCCAAAGAGGGCCCTGCGAGACACTTCAGGCCCTGTCTGGCCCCTCGACTTTTTCGGGACGACGGGTTCCGACCTCTTGCGACCACTTCCCAGCACCGGCGTCTTCATCCCGAATCGCTTTTGAATGCCCCTATAGGCCTGGGGAAAGGGCTTCGAGAGGCCGAAAGTTGTGGAAGTTTGCTGTTTTGATGTTCTCGAGGCGCCAGATGTCTGGATCCCTCAGAGATGGCCTCCCAGTCCGCGAGCTCGGAGTCGCCCGCTCAACGGGGGCCTCTGGAGAGCCTCCGGGAGCTCTCGACCTCCAGCAAGGGCGTTCAGGAGCCTCAGGCTCTGAGATCATGGCAGGCGGCCCCAACTCGAGACACGTCGCACAAATATTAGGTTTCAGTCGGGCCCGCCCCTCTACAGGCGGAATGTTCAAGAATAGTTTTAAAATCGTATGTGGACGATGTTTCTATTAGTTGTTTGGCCTACGTTTGGATTATGTTTGAGTTTGTTTTGTCCATCTTTTATTTTCTTCCAAAATTCGCGTGTAGGTGGACATGCCCAACCGAATATTAGGTCCAGATTTCGGGTCGTCGTTTCCCACGGTGTTGTATTTTTTCGCGACGTCGGATCTCAAGGAGCGGGTGTGCGGCCTCCTCTAGGGGGGGTTGGTCGGTTACTTCCTTCGCACTCTCTTGACTTATGCCTTTCGAAGACGAACAGGCGCCATAAACATAAACTTTTGCCGCTTCGCGCGGATCTCTTGGATCTGCGCCAGGGCCCCCTGGCGGCGCCTCCGGCGCCGCCCCCGGCGCGCTCCGCGCGTCAGGGAGGGGGGCCCAGCGCGGATCCACAAAATCCGCCTGGAGCGTTAAAAGTATATGTGTGTGCGCCTTTTTTTGTATTCTCCGATACATGCGAGGAGCTCTTCTAACTGGCCTTCCTGGCCTCCTCGTTGTTTCGCTTCTTGAGGCACCCATCCGTGTGGCCACGGTCGTTTTCGCAGACTGCATTGGCATGCTGAGCCTTCTGCTTCGTCTTCGCCCGCGTGCCGGGCACCGGAGGAGCCACCGTTGGAACACTGGGGCGGCCTTGCCGTCCTGGCGCAACCCGTGCGAGGGGGCACCGCGTGGACGGGGTGAGGCGGCTTCCTGGCCAGGGGCACGGGCCCGGCGCGTCGCGCCGCTGGCCCTGGCCCGCCGCGCTTCGGCGCGACGCGTCGAGCACGTCCCAGCCCCCAGTCGTCCACATCCCGAGCGTTTCCTGGCCCCTCGCCGTGGGCCCAGACCCCCTCGAGTAGTGAAAAAATCACGACGGGAGGTTTTTCGTCATTTTCAGCCTCTGGGGGCCCTTGCCGGGCCTCGGGACTGTCAAAAAACGACTCAGGATGAAAAGCCGGTCCCAAGGAAGGGGTCGGAACCTCTGGGGGTCGACGTCATGAAAAAATCATGACGTCGGGGGTCTGGGGGGGAAGGAGGTTCTCTGGGAGAGGGGCCCCGGGTTGCTGGGGCTGTCCCGGGCTTCCCCCGGAGCGGAGGCCCTGCAGTGCGCCATGGCGCTCGCATCGTCCGCGCACGCATCCGAAGCGATGCCAGACCACCGCCAGCGCTGGCCCACCGAGACGGAGCCCTGCGAGGACCGCGTCCCCAATCCCAGACCCCCGACGTCACGCTTTTTTCGTGACGTCGACCCCCAGAAGCTTCGACCCATCCCCCAGCACCGGTTTTTCATCCTGGGTCGCCAGAAATGGAGAAGAACCTACCGTCGTGATTTTTTTTTTGCTCGAGACCTCGTGAGGGCCCCCAGAGGCCGGAAATGGCGAAGAATTTCAGAATTTCCCAGCGTGATTGTTGCTCGCCCGAGGCCTCGCAAGGGCCCCCGGAGGCCGGAAATGGCGAAGAACCTCCCGTCGTGATCTTTTATCGCACCTCGAGGCTATTCCGGACCCCCCCTTCTCCCCGCTCCCGTGCCGGGCGCCGCGCACGGCCGGGCCGAGGCACGAACGGTCGAGGTCGGTTCGGGGAGGGTATGGCCAAACTGATTGCCCGTCGTTTGCTGTTGGATGTGGCTGTGCATCCTCGGGGAGGCTAGCTGGGTCTGGGTACCGGCGGGCACGGCATGCGCAGCGAGTCCCGGGGGCCGCCCCCGCGAAGCGCGCCCGTCGGGCCGCCGCGGCCTCGCCGGCCGTGGCAGCACCGGCTTCTGCGTTGGGTGTCCCCCGCTCCCCCGCGGGGGCGGCGGGCCCACACTCGAGGGGCCTGTTTTCCACCACCACCACCACCATATGTTGGAGAGGGAGGGGGTTCTCCTCCTCCTCCTCCTCCACCTCCTCCTCCTCCTCCTCCTCCTCTTCGTCCTCCTCCTCCTCCTCGTCCTCCTCCCTCCCCTCTCCAACTTCTGGTGGTGGCGGTGATGGCAAGCAGGCCCATGAATACAGTGGAACGCCATGCCCAGAAGCACCAGGGTGCCATGGGTTCCCTGGGTTTCGATGGTGACGTTTCCTTATTCGTTGTTCTGCCGAGCGGCACGGGCCCTCGCACCCCCTTCCCCCCCTCCTTCCGCCCTGGAGTATATCTTCGCTGTTTTTTGGTGCCTGTTTCGTGCAGGTGGAGTCTCCCCCGTAGACGCACTGCTGCAAACATTCGCACTAAGCAGAGGTCCGGAGCCAGGCCCCCCCTTACCCCCCTTCCGCCCAATCTCGGAACGCCGAGGAAGATAGCACTCACATGGTTATGTTATAAAGTACGTGACGTTCCCAGACCCAAAATCCATGTATGTGTTGGGGTTCCAGGTTTGGGTTTCTTGTGGAAGTTTTTTTTGTGGCCGAGCTCATACCCCAGGACCCCGACGCCACGATTTGTTGCCACAGCCTCGACCCCCAGTCGGTGGCGAGCCCGGGGGGGAGCGAGAAGGGGCGGGCCTTCTCAGCAAGCTCGGAAGTCCCCGGGGCCTTCTGAGGAGTTTTTGAAGCCTTCCCCCAAGACGCAGAAAACTGATTGGAAGGCGCGAGGGCTTCTGAGAAGTCCCGCCGCCTTCCGGAAAGGCCTTCTCTTTCACTTTTCCCACCCCTCGCCCGCCGCCGACGCATGCCTCGACTCGTTCCCCAAGAACTAGTTTTGGATCGTCCCGAGTCGTTGTTGTTTGCAGCCACGGGGCCCAGTAGGACCCCCCAGACACAGAGATACGACGTTCCCAAAGAATTGGAGCGGGCGGTCTTTGGCTGTTTTCGGCCTCCGGGGGCCCTCGCCAGGCCCCAGGACCATCAACAAACGACCCGGGATGGAAATCTGCCCCAGGGGAGTGGTCCAGAACTCTGGGGCCCACGCATCGAAAAACGTGGAGCAGCCAGAGGATTAGGAAGCCACTGCTCCGCAGAGGGCTCTCGCAGGGCTGGTGCTGTCGAGCGCTGCCGGGCGGCCGTTCCGAGCGGGAGATGGCCACAGGTTGCAGGAGAGGAGCCTGCAGGCCCAGGCCCCCCTCGAGGTGTTCACTACTTTCAGCCTCTGGGGGCCCTTACCGGGCCTCGGGGCCGTCGTAGAACGATTCGGGATGGACATCCTGTCCTGGGGAGTTGGTCGAGACATCTCCACGTCGACGTTATGGAATTTATACGTCGGTCGTTGGAAGTAGTTGTTCGTGGATTCCCAGGTTCCGATCTACTTCTAGCACCTTCCTACTTCAAGAATCCATATGCTTTGCTGTGTTCTCTGGGAGGGCCTGAACCCAACCTACTGTATCCGCCTTCCTACTTCATGCGTTTACCTACTTGTTCCGACCGACGTGCATCCTGGTGACGGACCCAACCATATGCAGTTGCCAGTACCGTCCTTGTGAGAATCGCCTTCGGTGGAGCTCCCTGTGGGGCCACGAAGCGCTCGAGGGGTATGCCGAAATGGGCGGGGCGGCCCAATGCGAACATGGCCACTGGGGCCTTCGGTGGAGTTCCCTTTTGGGCCACGAGGCGCGTGAGGGGTGTGCCGAAATAAGCGGGGCGGCCGCATGCGGACATGGCCACTGGGGCGTTCGGTGGAGCTCCCTATTGGCCATGGGGCCACGAAACGTGTGAGGGGTGTGCCGAGATGTGTGGGGCGGTCCCATGTGGACATGGCCACTAGGGCGTTCGGTGGAGCTCCCTGCGGGGCCACGGGAACGCGTGAGGGGTGTGTCGAAGGGGGGGGCGGCCGCATGTGGGCATGGCCACTGGGGCCTTCCGTGGCGCTCCCTATGGGATGACGGAGCGTGTGACGGGTGTGCCAAGGTGGTTGACAGGAGGACGACAGAGGCAGGGACTGGAGGAGGAGAGGATGGGAGGAGAGAAGGACGCGGGGCGGTGCCTTTCCAAAACGAGGACCCAACACCTCCGTAGCCGTTATGGCTCACGCCATTTTGACTCCAGCCCTGTGCGCCAGCAGCGCGCAGGGCGTGGCCTGGCCGCCCCCCCCCCGCGCCACGAGAGCGCAGGGATCCTCCCGCGGCCCGCGCAGGGGCCCCCCTTCGCCGCCTGCGAGCAGAAGGCCCGATGGTGCGCCTCCAGCTCTCCCCGGCGATCGCCAGGCCCCTGCCCGTCGAGGCGCTGGCCGACCTCGGCGGGCCCCCGTGGCCCTGCGGCTCGGTGCCCGGGGGGGCGAGGCACACGGATCCGACGACGGCTGGCAGGCGAGCGGACCCCGCCAGCTCGCCCTCGAGCAGCTGTGGGAACGCCCGTGGCCAGGAGGAGGTGCTGCCGGTCGGGCAGGTCGCGGAGGCGACCCGGCTGTCGAAGCACGGCGCGCAGCCAACCAGGCCGCCAGGCCGTACAGACCGAGCTCGGCCGGCGAGCTGCACGACGCCCGCGGTCGCCATCTCCGCCGACCTCAAGGCGGCGCGGGGCACCGCGCTCAGCGGTGGCGGCCTGAGCGGATGCACCACCGTCAGGCTGAAGAATGTGGAGCCGTCGCTCATGCCAGACATGGCCATCGCCGCGCTCAGCGCCAATGGGTTCGAGGGCATGTTCGACTTCGTGCACGTGCCGAAGAGCATGAAGAAGAAAAATAACAACATGGGCATGCTCTTCATAAATTTTGTCGAGCCCGCGACAGCGAATGCGATGTACCAGTCCTTCCACCACCAGACAATGCCTGGAGTCAGCGCAGCGGGCAAGACGCTGGAGATCACGCCAGCATACATTCAGGGCTTCCAGGATAACTTCGACTGGCATGTAAACTCCGAGGCGCATTTCCTTTTCTAGTCGGCCACGAGACCCTTGTGAGAGCTTGTAGCAGGCGTGCGTTGCCGAAGGCGATGTTTCGTCTGCACGGGGATTGAATGTGCCTCCTGTGGTTCCAGGCCCTATTGCAGGGCATACTTGGGACACAACACAAGTAGAACTTGCCCGAGGAAGTGCTGTCCCCTTGTCGGAGCACGCTCTTGACGCGTGCCTCTTCATTTGAGTATGTGCGTAGTCTGTTCCAGATCGTCTACGGGTTGGACACCGCTCTGAGCACATCGCTCGTGCAGGACACGTGCTTGACGTGGGGCGGCGGTGAATTTCGCCCTGTCTCGCCACGCACGATTTTACGAATTCGGTACGTCGCGCGCACGGGTGTGAGGGTGGGGCGGAGGTGGGGGTGAGGCGGCTAGTCTTGGTCTCATGTCTTATTTCTTTTGCACCTGCTGGTATGCGTGCAACGCGTTCCCACCCCAATGTGCGCGCATGACTTTATATATATATGATGTTCACTTTGACGGCCACGCATGCGACGCAGGTCTGTGTCTAGTTCGCAGCTTTTTCATTGGACGGCAGCACGGGCACGCCGAACCTGTATATCCTTAGAAGACGTCGGTCCTGTGAGCAGGCCTCACGCATTAGGATGAGCATTGGAATGAGTATCACCAGCATTGTTTTGAAATCGTGGGGCCGTGCGGCATTTGTCCAAGCACGTGTGATTCACCTTGCGGGGAGCGAACCTCGTCCATTGTGTGGTTGCTGCCTTGGCATGCTGCAAGCATTGAAGAACACACTCGGGTCCTGGCATGACTTCCTTTGAGGGGCAAGGCTGCCCTCTTCGTGTGTTTTAGGTCGATCTACTCGTACGGATTGGAGAGACCCTGGGCACCAGTTGAAGGTTGGCACGCCTTGGCTATTGCAGCCTTATGCCTTGTAGCAGACGCGTTCGGATGCAAACGCACGGGGCGCGTGGACTAGGGTTTCATGTCCAGTTCAATAGACTTCTGCTCTTCCACAGGTCGAGCGGCGTTCATTCTAGAATTCGTCACGCCTGCCGTCCCGCAACAGGGTCAGCCAGGGGGCCAGGCCCAGACCTGACCGGGCGCGGACCCCCGCGCCGCGCGGAGGACCGCGTGGAGCTCAGCCAGCGCTGCCACGAAGCGTTGGCGATGAGCCTTTGGTGTTGGCGATGCTTCGGGAGGGAAGGAGAGGAGGATGTGCACGTACATGTCTTAGATGTTCGATCTAGAACTCTTATCTGGGAGTGGGAACAGTCGAAGGGAGCAGGACCACCTGCGCCTCGAAGCCTGCTGGCCCCGAGGTGGCCTGCGGACAGTCTTTGGCTTTTCTCGGCGGCGAGCGAGGGGGGGAAGTGAGAAGGAGAAGGCCTCCTCAGAAGGCTCGGAAGTCCCCCGGCCTTCTGAGAAGTTTTCTCAGCTTTTCCTGAAGACAGGGGAAACCTTTCAGAAGGCGCGAGGGCTTCTGAGAAGTCCTGCCGCCATCTGATGAGGCCTTCTCCTTCTCACGCCCTCCCCTCGCTCGCCGTCGGATTTCAGGACCTCGCGCCCATCATTGGGCACTCTGCAGTTGCTGCCTCAGGATCGGGCAGGGTCTTCTCCTGCCGCGGAGAGCCGCGCTGTACAGTCGGCCCCCGGCGCTCTCGCCGGGGGGCCCGGTGCCCCCCGCTCGGTGCTCGACGTCCTGTGCCTCTCTGCCAAAGAACTGCAGCTCGCCTGGGGTAGCTCGGTGACCTGCCCTGACTCCAGATCCGCCCTACTTTGGCTTTTTTTTCCAACTCAAAATTGCGTCGGAAATCCACCTATAAGGAGCCGGAAAAGTAGGGCGGAAATTGCTGCACCCAACATAAGATAGGGCGGAAATCCACAGAAACAGCAACAGAAAAGTAGGGCGGAAATTGGCATCAGCGGGGCTTGAAAAGTAAGGCGGACATTCCAAGCCCCACTTACGAATTTCCCCAAAGTAGGGCGGATCCAGAGTCAGGGTGGGGCTTCCTTTCCTGGCCTCCGAGGCCTCCCGGACGGCCCAGGACGCCCCTGCCGAGGGCGAAGAGCGCCACACGCGGCCCGGTCCGCGAGACGGCTTGCTGGTCAGGCCGGGGGCATTCTGTCCAGAGCGCCATCTGCAGCCGCAAGCCCCCGACCCGGGCAACGACAGCCCTCACCCGGGGCGCCGCTGGCGCCGCGCCAGATTCTGCACACAAAAAAAGACGGCCCCCAAAACGAAACGCCCCCAAGAGCAGGCAGGAGTACGCCAGCTCCGGCCCTCCCCCTTGGTGCCTCGATGCTCTGTGTGTCTCTCTCTCTCTCTCTCTATATATATATATATATCTCTTTTTTTTTGTTTCTCTCTTTCTCTCTCTCTTTCTCTCTTTCTCTTGCTCTCTATCTCTCTCTCTTTGTTTCTCTCTCTCTCTCTCCCTCTGTCCCCCTCTCTCTCATCATTTTCTCACCTCTCACACTCAGACTCGCTTACTCCATCGGACTCGTTCAGATCCCTTCTCGTTGTCGGATCAGAGAGGGTTCCAGTTTCTTCGAGCAAGGCCTCTCGGCAAGAGTCCCGTTGCCGAGCTTTTTGACACCATCCCCCTCGTCGTTTGCAGACCTCCAGCGGGAGGCTCCCCTGCGAATCACAAGAGGGCCCAACACCACGGAACGGTCGGGAAGAGCGGTGGCGTCGGGAGTCCGGGACCGCAGGTGCAGGACGAGAGCTTCCAGGAGCAGGTGAGGCCCCCCCATGGCCCTGGCTCAAGCCCTGTTCAGTGACCGAGCTCCGACACGGCCGCGCGCCCCACCCCGCGAGGCGCGACCGCGCTCCGACGTCTCCAGCCATGGCGAACATGGCCATCAGCAACATCACCCTCAACCGCCTCGCCCTCCCGGCCGACGCCGACGTCCGCCACCACTGGGAGATGAAGGTGGTGGTACCAGATCCTGTGGTACAGGTCTTCTGGGGCGACGGGGTGCCAGCACTCCAGATCTCGTAATTTAAAAGGGAGGGGGCCTGGACCCTCCAAGACAAGCCATTTCAGACCCCCCCCCCGTGGGAGAACCCTCCAAAACATCTTCCCCAGACCCCCCCATGGCCCTCCAAGCTAGATTGGAAAAGAACCCCCCCCCGAAATCTGGAGAGTACGTGTGTGCGCCGGCCCCGGCCTCGCCAGGATCCTGGGCGCTATAGGGACCGGTGCAGGCGCCCGGCCGGCTCGGGAGCACGGCGGGGGGGCGCATATATGGGCCGCTCCCGGGCCCGGCCCGCGCCCGGCCAAGGCCGGTCGGGAGCGGAAAAGAGGGGGGTGATGACAAGGGGGGGGTGGATTTCATGGCGCGGGCCATGATTTTTCCTCAGATTTCACGGCGCCTCTTCTTACTTTATTGCGTCCCAGGCCCCCCCGCTGGGCCGCGCACATGCCGCCGGTCATGATTTGCACCCCCCCCCTCTTGGACACCCCCCTCTTGGCCGCTCCCGAGCCGGCGGACGCGCCCAGGCATCCCTAAAACGACGCGAAGATCGGGGCAAACTCGGATCGGGATAACTCGAAATCTCTGAGAATCGGCGGGTTTGGAGGATGTATTGGGCGCCGCGGCCGCTCCAGAGCGTTCCGGAACTCTCTGTGAGAGCGCTCCGGAACGCTCTGGAGCGACTTATCCCGATCCTAGCCCCGTTTTACCAGGCATCCCGCCTCCCCCGAGGTAGTAGTAGCGGTACCTGTGGTAGTGGGGTGATGCCCGCGTTGATCTCCGAGGATTCCGCGCTGCCGAAGCCACCATGCCCGCCGCGGCGGGGACCTCCAGCTCGCGGCGCCGCTCGGCCTCGGCCCTCGACGGTCCGCGCCGGGGCCGCAGCTGCAGGCGGCGCCTCCGCGTCACCACCACTGAGGCCACTGCCGAGGGCTCCAAGCGGGAGGCGTGGGTTCTGGCGCCGAGCAGTCGGCGGCGAGAGGTGCACTCGTGTTTTGACTGTGCACCATGCTGCGGTCAACAGAGCGCTCTGCGCGGGGGGGGGGCGCGAAGTATTGCACGGCCAACAAACAGCTGGTGCACACGAGGTAAAACACTCACCTGCATCCGCGCGCATCTATCCCACGCAGCGCGCAAACTATTGCATCCAGCGCGGCAACTATTGCAAGCACGATTGCACCAATCCCCGCAGACCCATCTGCGCCAGACCCACCATTCCCCAGACATCCGGCGGTTCGATTTCTTCGAGACGGGCCACCGACCACATGATGCCTTCCCCGGGACGGGCTCTTCATCCCGAGTCCTCTCGGAGCGGCCCCGATGGCCCCGGAAGGGCCCCGAGAGGCCGCAGCCTGCGAAACACTCTTGTGCCGATTCCCAGACCCCCGACGTCATGATTTTTTCATGACGTCGACCCCCAGAGGTTTCGACCCCTTCCTTGGGACCGGCTTTTCATCCTGAGTCGTTTTTTGACAGTCCCGAGACCCGGCAAGGGCCCCCAGAGGCTGAAAATGACGAAAAACCTCCCGTCGTGATTTTTTCACTACTCGAGGGGGTCCGGGTTTCTGTCGGCGAGCCGCCAGGATGTCTTGGGTCCGGCCTCCCAGGGCGCCAGCCCCGCCGCCAGCGCCTCCTCGAGCCCGGGCAGCCCCGGCGAGGCGCGGCCCGCCGCTGGCGCCGGCGGCGCCGGCCTCCTCCCCTGCGGCCAGTGCGGGTGCCCTCCCGCGGCCAGGCTGCGATCCCGGGAGCTGCAGCGCGGCCGCGCGTCGCCGCACCGGGCGTGGGCGCGCGGCCTCGCCCTGACTCCGGATCCGCCCTGCTTTTTGGCTTCTTTTCCAACTGAAGATTGCGTCGGAACTCCACCCAGGAGTTGCCGAAAACGTATAGGGCGGAAAGTGCTGCACCCAGTATAAAGTAGGGCGGAAATCCACAGGAGTAGGGCGGAAGCAGCAGCAGAAAAGTGGGGCGGAAATTGGCACCAGCGGGGCTTGAAAAATAAGGCGGAAATTCCAAGCCCCACTTACGAATTTCCCCAAAGTGGGGCGGATCCGGAGTCAGGGTGGGGCCCCGAGGATCCCCGAGGTCCTGGCGCCGCCCCCTCCTCTATAGGGGCCGCGCGCGTTCTCGCGCGCAGGGTCGGGCCCCAGGGCCCGCACAGCCCGCGCCGACTCGAACAGCACGAGAGGAGGACGGGGCCTGGGCCTCCGGCCACGATCTTCTGATCACGACAGTGTGGCATTTGTGTTCTCGCGTCGTCGGATCTCAGGGGAAGGCCGCAGGGAAGGCTGGGGTCCGGGACGCCTGCAGGTTTTTTTTTGTTTGCTCGCGGCGCTGTTGCCTTGCTCTGCAGCGTCGGATCTGGGGGGGGGGTCGAAGATGGGGGCCTGAGGGCCGGCCCTCGAGAGGAGGGCGGCCGGGAGAGGGCCTTGAGGTTGGCCTTGCGTTCAGCGTTGTGCAGAGCCGCCTCGCCCTCTGCAGGGCCCCAAGTCTCCGGGCCCCGTCTTGGGAGGGCCACGGCCCAGACGTGCAGCGCCTCGAGTGGTTCGAGACGCGGGCCCCCGGCCCCTCGGCCACGTCCCCGGGACTGACTGGTCTTGCATCCCGAGTCGTTTTTGTCCACGGTCCCGAGGTCCGGGAAGGGCCCAGAGAGGCCCGAAGCGGTGAAACAATTGTTTTTCATGTTTCGAGAAGCCGGATGTCCGGGGTGGTGAGGCATCGGGTTGCGCGCAGACAAGATAGCCTTTTCGGGTAGTTCCGGCTGGCATCAACAGGCCCTCCGAGTAGTCTGGGGCGGTCACAACACTCCACTCTCAACAGGCCCCTCGCGAGTACAGTCAGCCCGCATAGTACGGATGGGCAACCTTCCCCAGGGTACCCTTGCATCCTTGCCCCTTCGGCCCATCATTGGCCACTTTCGCTGGCCAACCTCGTTCGAGTAGCGCTAACGTGGCCCTCCAAGGCCCTTGCATCCTCACCGCGCATCCCTTTGATACGGGTTGACTGTGTATAGTCCGAGCTGGCCTCCACAGGCCGCCCGAGCAGTCCGGGGCCGTCTGGCAGCGCCTCCGGCGGCGCCCCTGGGCGCTCCGCGCATCCCCAGTGTGGAGGCGGCCAGCTGGGACCACCTGGGGCGGGGCTGTCTGGGCGCAGTCCGAGGCCTCACCCCACCGTCCACCAGACCGCCCGCACCCCCACCCGAAGGCCCCGATCTGCTCTCCATTCCCATGTGGGGGTGGGTCGGCGAGCATTTTGAAAAAAACACACATGGAGCCCGTACCCCCCCCCCCAGCCCGAAATTCGGGTCTTCGGGTTGGGTTGGGCTGGCCTGGTAGGCATCCCTTGACTCCGGATCCGCCCTACTTTGGGGAAATTCGTAAGTGGGGCTTGGAATTTCCGCCTTACTTTTCAAGCCCCGCTGATGCCAATTTCCGCCCTATTTTTCTGCTGCTGCTTCTGTGGATTTCCGCCCCATTTTACGTTGGGTGCAGCAATTTCCGCCCTACTTGTTCGGCCTCTTCTAGGTGGATTTCCGACGCAATTTCAAGTTGGAAAAAAAGCCAAAGTAGGGCGGATCCAGAGTCAGGGTGGTCTGGTAGGTATCGGGGGTGGACAGAACCCCCAACAGTGACACGTCGATTAGTGAATTGTCCTTTTTCGGTTCTCGAGAGGGCGCCGCGGCCGTTAGTTTCCAGGCTCGCGCCTGCCAGGTCTGGGCCTCAGGTCGTTTTCACTAGACCACGTTTTACTTAAAGGGAGGTCTGTCCATCCCCGAAGGCAGTCGTCGCCAGCCCGGGGAAGGTACCTGGCCCGGTCGAGCCTCGGCCTCTCCATGCACGTCACGCAGGCGCACCGCCCGCGGCTGCGCGTGCGCGCCGGCCCCCGCGCCTGCCCGGAGGCGGCCCTCTACCACCGCCTGAGGCTGCTGGAGCCCGAGGCCCGCAGGGCGCTGCTGCGGCGCTTCTCGGAGGCGCAGCGGCTCGCGCTGGAGCCGGGGAGGCCAAGGTAAAACGACGCGAAGATCGGGACAAAATCGGATCGGGATAACTCGAAATCTCTGAGAATCGGCGGGTTTGGAGGATGTATTGGGCGCCGCGGCCGCTCCAGAGCGTTCCGGAACGCTCTGAGAGCGCTCCGGAACGCTCTGGAGCGATTTGTCCCGATCCTAGCCCTGTTTTAGGAGGCCAAGAGGTGTGCTGAGGCCGCTGCTCCCCGGACCCCCCCATACCGTACGTCGACGAAAGGTTGCACCACTTTTGCCGCGCATCGTCAGCCGTATTGCATTGCTCCTCCCCCCCCCCTCCCCCGGATCTTACTACTGGGCACATGGCAAAGGTCCCTTGGCGCCCCCCTCAGGGCTCGCGACAGAATGTTGCACCGCCGAGCCGTTTCGATGAACCCGGGACCGCAGCCAATGTTAAGATTGGGGGAGGGGGGGGCGGAAGCGAACATCCATTGCAAAATCGGCTTGCTTTCTTGACAACACCAGGTGGTGCAACATTTTGTCGATGTACCGTAGAGTCATTGTAGGCCTCCCAGATCGGGTCGGAGTAGATGGGGTCGGAGGATCGCACCGCATCAATAGTCCATTATTGCGAAGGCCTCACGGCCGATGCCGCCGACCCTGTAGGCAGCGGCGACGAAGACAATCGAGGTAGAGGAGTCCAAGATGCCCTCAGATGGCTCGAAGACGGCGCCAGATGCCTGCAAGGTCGTCCGAAGACACAAATATTGTCAATCCATAGTCTGGGGACGTTTTTCCTATCATTTGCTTGCTAATTTTGATAAAGGTTTGACTCTGTCTTATTGTTCGTCCCAAATCCGCCTGTAGTGGGACGTGCCCGACCTAAGGCTACACCCTCCCCTTTCCCTTTCTTGTTTTTGTTTCTCAGCTCTTTCCAGGATCCTCCGCACGCGCCTGCAGCAAGAGCTGTGCGGTGGGCGTTGCTACTGGCTGTGGTACGAGGTGCGGTACGACTGTAGGGTGGCCGTAGTCGTGGGAGCCGCACAACCGATGTGAGCAGGGGCTGGCTGCAATGTGAAGTGAATGTACCAGAAGCTGTGTCAGGCAACTGCAGTGGGAGCTGCATTAAAAGACGGCGTTAACTTTGAAGCACGAGCTGTAATGAGGGCTGCACCACTGACTGCACGAGGAACTCTATCGGGAGATGCAGTATCTTTACGACTGGTTTCACTTGCCAGTTTCTGGAATATTTTGATAAAAACAGCAGGCCCAAAGGCTGTACGACTGGCTGTGGTCGATGTGCATACAAAGCTGCACTGGGATACGTAGTAGGTTTGCACCATCAGCTGTGAAATGAGTTAAAGCAATAAGTGTAGTGAGACCTGTGCGAACGGCTGTAACAAGAACTGCTATATTGGGTTGTAGAAACAGCTGTGGAAGCAGCTGCTTGTGGGAGTTACAGTCGGGGTTCTAGCAAGAGCTGTCGAGGAGCAGACTTGAAGATTGTAGTACTGGCTGTAACAAGAGCTATATTGCGGCCTGGGTTAGGAGCTGCAGGGTGTGTGTGTGTGTTGTTGCTGGGGCAGTACCCAGAGCGGCAGTAGGAGCTGTACGACTTGGACTGGTTGTAGAAGAGGGTGTAACGGGAGCTGTACTGGTGGCTGTGCCAAGGAATTGTAATATGAGTTGCAAGTCGAAGCACAACATGCGTTGTAGGAGGAGCTAAAATGACAAGTGTAAGATGCGTTGGGAATTGTAGTAAGAGTTGTTGTGGAACATGTCTTGAGAGTTGGTGGTAAGAGGACGTGTAGTAGGCACTTCGGTCGGGACATCAGTGAAAGCTGTGTTACTGGCTGCGTTGGGAAGCACACTGAGAGGTGCACTAGGATACGTAGTAGGATGTGCGACATCAACTGCAAAGGGACCTGTATCGAGAGTTGTAGTGAGGGCTGTGCACGTGGCTGTAGCACCTGTGCGCGACGAATCGCTGTACGAGGAGTTCTGGTCGGAGCTGCAGTGCGAGCCGCAGAGGGAGAAAAGCTGCGAGGGCACCGCGCTGCTGGCGATCCCCCACCGTGCCCTCGAGGCGCGAGTTGGAGTCCTCTCCGGCGCCTCGTCTGATGCCGCGGAGCCTCGGTCGGCATCAGCTCGCCGGAGCTTCGGGGGCTGCCTGCGGGGCCACGGGGGCCCCCGGGGCGCTCTGCCGCAGGACCTGCCCCGGCCCCCCGAGGGCCACAAGAGAGGGGCACCAGAGGAGGCACCAGGAGGCCCCCAGGACGGTCTGCTGCCCTCGTCAAAACTGACCTCAACAGTTGCCGGCACGCCATTTCGATTCCGGCGCGCCCCTCAACGTCGACACGCCGCCCCTTTCCATGTCGGGGCGAGGGCAAAGACAGTCTGACCGAAGTCGACTCGAAAGTTTGACGTCGACCGACATTGGAGGGGCGGCGCATGCAAGCACCCCGCACTCATCGATACTCGGCCCCAGATCTTCCGACAAGCAGTTCAACCACGTCAGACCCTTTTGAGGTTAATTTTGACGAGGGTTGTAGGAGGGCCCCGAAGTCGCCGCGCGATCGGTCCGAGGTCCAAGACGCCCGCGATGGCCCCCTGACGGCCCAAGATGCCCCCAAGACGCCCGAAGGGGCCTCCGCGAGGCCTCCCGAGGACCCAAAGTGGCAAAAGTCACTGATATCCAATGGGCATTTGGATGATGATGGCGTTCTCACCTTCTCGGCTCCCCGACGCTCCAGGACGGCCCAGGAGGCGGGCAAGATCGCCTCAAGACGGCCAGGAGGCCCCCAGGAAGGCCCTCCATACTTTCAGGAGGGCCCCAAAACGGCGCACGAGGAGCCCAAGACGGCCCAAGAGGCCCCGAAAACGACTCCAAGAGGGGGGGCCCGACGTGGGACCCTTATGAACAGATCAATCCCTCGGCCCCAGCAGGCCCCCAGGAGGCCCTCAGAAGCATCCCAAGTGGCCGCCGAGAGCCAACGAGAGGCCTCCAGGAAGCCCTGAGAGGCCCCCAAGAGGCTCCCAAGAGGTCCCCAAGAGGCCCCCAAGAGGCTCCAAAACTGCCCCCAAGAGGACCATGAGAGCGCTCCGAAGAGACCCCAAGAAGCATCCCTGAGGACCCTGACCCACACATCCCAGGCACGGCAGCAGGATAGGCCGAAGACCAGTAGATCAAGGAGCTGTAGTACGGCCTGTTTTGGGAGCTGTAGTCGTGGACCGTAGAAATGATTGCAGTGAGAGCTGTATTGCTGCCTACAGTGGGAGCTACAACGGGGGCTGTATTTGTAGCCGGGGTGAGTCTCTCTCTCTTCTCCTCCTCCTCCTCCTCCTCCTCCTCCTTCTCCTCCTCCTCCTCCTCCTCCTCCTCCTCCTCTTCCTCGTTCTGCTCCTCCTCTTCCTCCTCCTCCTCCTCCCCTTTTCCTCCTCCTCCTTCTCTCTCTCTCTCTCTCCTTTTTTTCCTCTCTCTCTCTCTCTTTCTGGGCACTGCTTGGCGCGCCCCGCCGCACGGCAGGGCGCTGAACACGGCGAAGCGCGGGCACAGTCCGCGACGACGCGCCCCCGTACGGGGCGGCTCGCAACACACGCCTCAGGCTCTCCTCTCTTTTTGTTTTGGTCTCTCTCTCTCTCTCTCTCTCTCCCTCCCTCCCTCCCTCCCTCCCTCCCTCCCTCCCTCTCTCTATAGATGTACATATATTATATGAGTATTATGTTTTTGTTGTTCTCTCTCTCTCTCTCTTTGTCTTTGTTTGATGTTTCTCTCTCTCTCTCTCCCTATTTCTCCTCCTCCCTCTCTCTCTCTCTTCTCTCTCTCTCTCTTTCTCTTTCTCTTCTCTCTCTTTTTTTTTTTGTTCTCTCTCTCTATATATATAGATTCTTAGTTTCCCCTCTCTCTCTCTCCTGTTTCTCTCTCCCTCCTTCTCCTTCTCCCGCTCTCTCTCCCTCTTTCCCCTCAGTCGCTCTTTTTTTTTTTCTCTCTCTCTCTCTCTCTTCCTCTCTCTTTCACTCTCTCAGAGCGCCAAGAGGGTCCCGCACAGGGGTCCCTCGGCCACTTCTTGTGTGCTCCGATTTTCCGAGGCGCCAGACATCCTCCTGGAACCCTGTTCGTCACGGTCGAGCTTGGTGCCGGAAGAGTGCACACGAAGACGGACAGCAGTATTCGCGCCAGTGTCGCCGAAGGCGTTGTCGCCGCGGCCTGGTGTCGCCGCGGGCAGTGTCCGTTCTGCACAGAAGACTGGGCGCCCTCCTCCTCCTCCTCCCCCTCCTCCTCCCCCTCCTCCTCCTCCTCCTCCTCCTCCTCCTCCTCCTCCTCCTCCTCCTCGAGGACGCCTTCACGCCCAGCAGCCCCTGCCGTCGCTGTCGTTTTTGGACAGTGTTTCTTGTAAGGCATCGTGCCCATGTTCTGCCGTACCCACTTCGGGCGTCCAAGCTCTCTAGGCCTCCCAGATGGGGTCGGAGTAGATCGGGTCGGAGGATCGCGCCGCACCGCCGATGCTTCGGCGATGCGGCTCGATGTAGGGCCCGATTTTCTCCGCGATGCCTCGGCGATGCGGCGCCACACTCCGACCCCATGTGCTCCGACCCCATCTGTCACCACCTACCAAACCACCCCAACCCAACCCGAAGGCCTCAATTTGCCCTCCCTTTCCAGTGGAGGTTGGGCTGGGGTGGTCTGGTGGGGTAGTCCATCTGGCAGGCCTCCAAACCTGTCCTCCGAGGAGCGCTGGATCGTGTCGCAGGCCTGGCCGGCCGCCCCGCCAGAGCGGCGCGCCCGGGGCGGCGCGGCGCTGCGCGGCCGGCTGCCCGAGGCGTCCCCCCACGAGCCGCCCGCGGTGCGCCGCCGTGGCGCCGGCGGTCGGGGGAGGAAGCGGCGGGGGCCGCGGGGCTCGCCTCGACCCCCCCGATGCGATTCGCTTCCATGTCGGCGGAGTCCGATTCCGATTCGATTCGCCCTGGGCTTCCGATTGGGGTGCCGCTTTCTCACAGGACGCACAACGGGCCTGCCGATGTCCGCCGGTTCGGCTTTTGCCGATTCGGCTGCCGACGTCCGCCGATCCGAGTCGTGTCGATCGCCGATCCGGCTCTTCCATTCGATTCTGGGCTCTCCTGAGGCCATGGCCTCTTAGATGGCCTCCAGGCCTTCTAAGAGGCCATGGCCTCTTAGACGCCTTCTTCCTCGAGGCGCTCCTCCCCCTCCTCCTCCTCCTCCCCCTCCTCCTCCTCCTCCTTCTCCTCCTCCTCCTCCTCCTCCTCCTCCTCCTCCCTCACTCATTATCCTCCTTGCCTTTTTTTTCCTCCTCCTCCTCCTCCTCCTCCTCCTCCTCCTCCACGACCCAGGCATCATGAACCTTCAGGCCTCTTAGATGGGGTCGGAGGATCTTGGCGGCGCGCACGAGGGGGTATGGGGGAGGGGGGAGGCTTGTCGGGAGGCTGCTTCTTACTTAGAAGGCGCCGGCCCTACATCTATAGACAAGGCCCGCGCATTCTGAGAAGCTGGGGTGCTTTTTAGAAGCCTTCCCTCCTCCCCCTACCCCCTCTGCGCGTCGCAAACGATCGCGCCGCATCGCTGATGCATCGGCGATGCGGCTCGATGTGGGTCCCAAGTTTCTCCACACCGACGTCGGCGATGCGGCGCGATCCTCCGACCCCATCTGCTCCGACCCCATATAGGAGGCCTCTAGGACCATGACCAAGATCCAGGCACCATTAAGCATGATACCCAGACCCCCTCGAGGCGTAGCAAAAGTCCCGGCGGGAGGCTTTGCGCCGTTCTCGGCCTTTGGTGGCCCTCACTGGGCCTCGGGACCGTCAAAACACGACCCAGGACGAAAGACCCGTCCCGGGGAACGGGTCGAGACCTCGGGGGGTCGACGTCATGAAACAGTTGTGACGTCGGGGGTCTGGGTACAACCCCTAACCCTAAGGACACAATGAATATGCACACGGTTTTCAGGCTGACTGACTGCGGCCGTGCATCCGCTGTGGTCCGAGGCGCCCACGGCGCCTGCGGCAGGCCCAGTTTCTGGGGGCGCCGTTGCCACCGCAAACAATTCGCAAGCGAGCCTTCGGTCTCAGAAGCAATGTTCCAGTACAGCTTCACTTGGCATTCCAGTAAGATCGAAGACAATGGTTTCGCTTCAGCTTTTGCGATCACCGTTTTCTTTCTTACAGGCGAGACGTACGAGTGGGGAATCCGCAGAATTCGGCGCTAACATTTGCAGTAGAAAGCGTCGAGCCTGTTTCTGTCTTGTTTCAGGAGCGACAGCGAATCCTATGAGCAATACGATCTGCTCAGCACCACGCAGCTGCTGTAAATGAGTAGCTTGCGCCACCAGCCAACGGCAGAATGCGCCAACAATTTGAATAACTGCTGGAAAGCTCCTTTGGCTTCCCTGAGCGCTTAGATAATTCGTTACCCACGCGTCTACCATGAGTTACAAGGCCTCCTCAAGTAGATGGCTTCCTTAACTATTTTAATCGTGCGCCCATCCGGCTTCCTGACAAACTTGTCAGAACTGATTTGAATGTGTATTGTTTTGTCACAGTTCAGCTCCAATCCGTACTTCTGTCCCTCCAGCACGGTAGCGTCCAACATGTGCTGTAGGTCCCCCTGGTGTTGATAAATCAGGGCAGTTTCATCGGCATACCAAATATCTCTGGTAACCACATGCTCTGGGTCTTGATGAAGGTGGAGGTCAAAAACAGCGTCGTGGAACATCACAGTTTGCACAAAAATGAACAATCACGGGGTACCAGGATCTCTGGGCGATGCCAGCCGCTAGTCGCCGTTGCGAAGACTTACCCCAGTGGTCAATGATCGTGAAGTACCGGCACTAGTGACCCCCAGTGATCACCTGCACGAAAGGGCGCGGCAGCCCAACTCGATATAAAGCAGCGCACAGACAGTTCGGCTTTGGACGGTCGAATGCCGTTGTCCAGTCCAGTAGAAGTAGAACGATACCACCGTTGTTGTTTAAGAGCGCTGCGCCGATGATGCGTCTCACCAGCATGAGCGCGTCGACGGTGCCCCTGCGAGGTCGGAATCCGAGATGTGCGTTTCGTAGACGATCTTCAGCGCCTCCTTGAAGCAGTCGCTGGTTTCCCCAAACATGTGGGTGGTTTCGTCAGGCACATCTGCAAACAACAACCTGTCCCTAGTGTGTTTGGCCCTCCTAACACGGGTCCCCTCCCAAAGAAATAGGGGTACATGTATTGGTTATCAAGGCCCCCATCGAGTCATAAAAACATCATGACGGGAGGTTTGCATTGTCTTCGGCCCCTGGGGGGCTTCGGGGCCGTCAAAGCATGACCCATATGAAAAATCTTTCCAGGGGGGCCATGATCAAGATGTCGCAGCATTTTGTCGATGCCGATCTTGGTCATGGTCCATGTCCGCCGTCGCCCACTCAGGAGGATCCACAAATTGACGTTGACCAAGATTGACGGTTTCCGACGTAGACACGACGTTTCCGCGTCATGGTCTTGTTCCTTTTCCTTGTCCCTCCAGGCGGAGAGAGGCGGGTCGAGCCAGGCATCGTGTGCCGCCGCCTTCACGGGCGCCTGCTCTTCGCCGCGAGGGGCTCTCTTGGCCTCCCAAGCCCAGACATGCTCGCGTCTTGATGCCTATCCTGGCGAAGAACCCAACCCAGTCTACACGCGTGGACAGTATCAACAAGACCGCTCGATGCACAAGAACTCGTTGGGGGGGGTCCGCAGTACCTTTGAAACCTTCGCCAGAGAACACCGTACCTGGCTCCGCCGCGTGTAGAAAGACTTGAGAGTGCCCGGGAACTCGATGTGCGGCCACGAAACGTGTGAGTGGCGTGCTATAAGGGATCCGAGTCACCATGCGGACGCAGCCACTGGGGCCTTCGGTGGGGCTCTCTGTGGAACCACGAAGCGTGTGCGGAGGGTGCCAGAAGGGGCCTCAGTCACCATGTGGACGCAGCCATTGGGGCTTTCGGTGCAGCTCCCTATGGGGCCACGAAGCGTGTGAGGGGTGTGCCAGAAGGGGCCCTAGTCACCTCACGGACGCAGCCACTGGGGCCTTCGGTGGAGCTCCATGTGGGGCCATGAAACGTGTGAGGGGTGCGCCGAAACAATGACGATACTGATGATGTTTATGATGAGTATTATTATGATGATGCTGATGATGATGCTACAGATGACGTTGATGATGATGACGGTGCTGGTGATGATAATGATGGTGATGATGACGATTATGATGATTATTATAATGATGGTGATTGTGATGATGATGCATATGATGACGATGATAATGATGCTAATGATGATGATGCTGATGATGATGATGATGCTACTGGTGATGGTAATGATGATCGTGATGATGATGCTGATCATGGTGATGATTGTGGTGGTGCTGATGCTGATGCTGATGCTCATTGTGATGATTATGATGATGATGATGATGATGATGAGGATGATGATGATGATGATGATGATGATGATGATGAGGATGATGATGATGATGATGATAGTTGTGGTACTGATGCTAATGATGCTGATGATGTTGCTGCTGATGACGAGGTTGCCGACGATGGTGATGGTGATGATGACATTGACGACGATGAAAGTGATAAGGATGATGATGATGCTGCTGCTGCTACTGGTGGCGACGGTGATTGTGAAGATATTGAGGATGATGTTGTTGTTGCTACTGATGATGCTGATGCTGATGATGATGACGATGATGATGATGATGATGGTGGTGATGATGATGATGGTGATGGTGGTGGTGATGATGATGATGACGATGATGAATACTTACCCGTTACGAAAGTTTTTCATCTTGAGCACTGACGACTAGGGCGTCTCCGAGTGGCCCCCCCTTCCCCCCGTAGACTCCTAGCACGGCAGTCTTCGGCTTGGCTTGGCGGGAGAGATTTCCGGGGTTCTCCCTGGTAACATTAATAGTATATAACCAATTCAGGATAAAATCTCTCCCCCGTAAATTCACGAGGGAGAAATCACTCCCGGTCACTTCCAGGCAACTCTGAATTTCTCCCCGTATGAAACCACAAGGAAGAATCACTCCCATACCACTTCTCACCACAGCGCCCACACATGTCGATGTTAGCCAAGATGAATTAACTTTCGTAACGGGGATGCATGATGATGATAATGATGATGATGATGATGATGATGATGATGATGATGATGATGATGATGATGATGATGATGATGATTATGATGATGCTGATGATGATGACGATGATGATGATGATGATGATGATGATGATGATGATGATGATGATGAGGTTGATGATGCTGTTGGTGATGCCGACGATGATGATGACGATGGTGATGATGGTTATGATGCTGATTGTGATGATGATGGAGAGAGTGGTGAAGAGGATGAGGAGGATCAGAGGGAGGAGTGCGGCTGAAGAGGAGAGGGGGTGGAGTAGGAGGTCAGGTGGAGGAAATGAAGCGCGGCGCTGCGAATTGAAAACGACGACCCAACACACAGGAGGGTTGGACAAACAAAGGACGGAGTTGTTTCATCGTTTTGGGCCTCTCGGGGCGTTTCTGGGGCCTCGGGACCGTCAGAAAACGATTCGAGATGAGAAACCGGTCCTGGGGAAGTGGTTGCGAGGTCGGGGGCTTCTGTTTCGAAAAAATCGAGACGCTGGATGTCTGGGGAATGGAGTCCGACCGGATGGGGTCGGAGGATCGGGCCGCATCGGCGATGCATCAGCGAGGCGGCTTGATGTGGAGCTAGATTTTCTCCACGCCGACGGCGCCGATGCGCCGCCGACGCCGCCAGCACATGGCCGATGCATCGTATCGGCGGTGTGGCGCGATCCTCCGACCCCATCCTCTCGGACTCGCTTGCGGACGACGAACGGCATGAGATACACTGCTCCGCTGTCGGGGGCGCCTGCCCACAGGGCGGCTGGAGAGCTTCTACCCTGACGTGCCACCGTGTGGGTCTTGACTTCCAGCCGGCCTGGGACAGGCGTCCCCGACGGCGGAACGGCTCACTCCAAATCCCTGATTAGTCGTCCCCCGGGTCCGGTTTTGTAAGGCGTCGTTTTTGTAACTGGGGGGTCCGGTTTATTAGGGCGCTTCCTTTGGATTGGAGCTTAGTGGGTCCAGTTTTTTTAAGGCGCCCCGTCGAAGACGGGGGTCTGGAATATTAGGTCGCATTTGGAGGGGGGTCTGGTTTTTTAGGGGGGGGGTCGATTAATCAGGGACTCGGAGTATTTGATACCGCCCTTCGCCCGCTAGCTTTGGGGAGGTCTCCAGGCTCGGTTGGCCCGTTCCGCCTGTTCACCCGCTTCGCGCCCGACCCGGAGGCGGCGGCGAGGCACCGCGACGCGGTCGCTCCGCCACAGCAAAAGAGGCACAGTGACACCCTCCAGCGGATTGCCTCTGGGACTCGGGGGAGGGTGGCAGTGCATCAGTCACCACCGAGAGGACTAGCGGCTCCCTCTGCATCGCCGCCCTCCCTGGAAGGCGCATGCAGAGGTCGCCCGAAGGTGTCAGTGTCTATGTGTGTGTATGTGTGTATGTGTGTGTGTATGTGTCTATGTGTGTAATTATGTGTGTGGCGTGTTTTTGTTCCGTGGCGCAGGTCGCGGAGATCTGCCGCCGGGCGGGCGCCGCCGCCGCCGGAGGCGACGGCGAGCCCCGCGCGGCGGCCGACGGCGGCGCCCCCGGCGTGCGCGGCGGCGGCGCCGAGGCGCTCGCCGCGGCCTTCGCCCGGGCGCTGGTCGAGGAGCCGGCGCGGCGCGGCCTGGACGCCTCGCCGGGCGGCATGGGGCTCTGCTTCGCGGTGGTGGTCTCCGCGGGGTGCTCGGGGGCAGCGGCAGGGCCGTAGACCCTCTCGGGCCATGGCGGCATGCCGGGGCGGCCGAGAGGGGGTTTGATGACTGGGGGGGGGTGGGGATCTCAGGGCGAGGCCATGATTCTCTTCACTGATCGCATAGCGCCTCTTCTCATCCCCGCCCCCCCCCCCCCTGGGCCGCGAAAATGCCGCCGGCCATGATTTGCGCCCCCCCTCTTGGACGCCCCCCTCTTGGATGCACCCCAAAAATCACGACGGGAGGTTTTACGCTACTCTCGGCCTCCCGGGGCCCTTGCCTGGCCCCTGGGCTGTCAAGAAACGGCTCGGGGCGGACAACCAGTCCCAGGGGTCGAGATTCTCTGTTGGTGTCGAGGTAATGACAAGATCATGGCGTCGGGGGTCTGGAGGGGTTGGGCATGGGGAGGGGTGCATCGACCCCCAATCGCCCGTTGATCGCCGCTAGGGCTCTGATAGCCCCACCCCGCCCATGAACATGTCCCCCCCTTTATGCCAGTCCCCCCCCATCGTTGCGCCCCAGGTACTGGGTTGGCAGGCGCCGCGGGCGCGAAACAGAGGAGCGACGCAGCACAACGGCCCGGCCGCGCCGGCATCCGCGCGCGAGCTGCCCGCGCAAGCTCGCGCGGAGGCGCCGTCACTTCCGGTCCGGTGCAGCGCGCCGCGCTGGCGGCCCGCGCACGCCACCGCGCAAGGTCGCCATGCCACCTCGCGGAAGACCTGTGTCTTCTCGTCGCTCATCGTGTCCATCTCCACGGGCTCGCGGGCCGGGCCCTCGGACCGCGATCCTGTGGATCACTGGCGTGCTTTCGCGGATGCCCCGCGCGGCACGCGTCCATGCGACCGCGCACCGACGAGGTCACGCCCCGGAATCCAGACCGCGAGAGCGAGAACATGGATACGCAGAGGTCCGGTGTTGTTTTTGCAATGCGGCCTCCACGGAGGTCCCGACCCTTCACCCAGGGCCAGCTGCTCATCCTGAGCAGTTGATTGACGGTCCAGAGGCCCGGCGAAGGCTCCCAGAGGCCATGTTGACAGCTCACGACCGGAGCCCTTGACCCCAACTTCCTGTTGCACTCTTCGAGCCGGACCCATCTGGGATTGTCCTGGGGCCCGAAGCTGGGCGAGGTCGCCCAATAGACTTGCAACTCGGCCTCGCGCACAGGGGGGAGGGCTTCTCAGAAGCACCCCTGTCTCTTCGAGGGCGCGGGCCTTGTCTGTAAGTCTGAGACCAGCGCCTTCTACGAAGCGCTGCCGCCTGCTAAGAAGTCTCCCCCCCCCTATCCCCCTATCCTGATGGGCCGATTTTCCACAACCACCTCCTCCCCTCCTCCCCCTCCTCCTCCTCCTCCTCCCTCCTCCTCCTCCTCCTCCTCCTCCTCCTCCTCCTCCTCCTCCTCCCTCCTCCTCCTCCCTCCTCCCTCCTCCTCCTCCTCCTCCTCCTCCTCCTCCTCCTCCCCCTCCCTGGCCCACCACACCTCTCCCCCACCGGGGCGCGCCGCCCAGCGGCAGGCAGCTCGTCTCCCCGCGCTTCGCGGCGGCGGAGGTGCAGGCGGGCCTGCGCGCCTGGGCGCGCCTGCGCCGCGCGCGCGGCCTCGTGTACGCGGGCGCCACCAACCGCTACTCGATCCTGCGGCGGCACACGCCCAGGCAGCTCGAGGCCGCGTGGAGGGCCTTGCGGCGCGCCTACCTCGACAGCTGGGCCGAGGCCGGCAAGGACCGCGGCGAGGAGGGCGATGAGTGGAGAGCGCGGGTGTTCCCCGGCCTCGGGGCGTCCCGGAGGCAGAGCGAGTCGCACGGGTTTTTCCTCGTTCTCGCCCTCTCGGGGCCCTCGCCGGGCCTCGGGACCGTGGAGACAGTTTTTGTTCGCCTGCGAGGCAGAGGCAGTCCGCACCAGATTGGGGCTGATCGGGTCAACCGATGGCAAATTGTCCAGCGTGCAAGAGAGAGAGAGAGAGAGAGAGAGGGAGAGTGAGAGAGAGAGAGAGGGAGAGAGAGAGGCGAAGACGAGGACGAGGGCGGCCGCGCGCAGGGACGAGGAAAGGACCGTCAAGGCACGACTCGGAATGAGAAATTGGTCCAGGGGAAGTGGTCTTGAGGTCGGGGGCCCGTGTCTCAACAAACATCGGGACGCCAGATGTCTGGGGCGGTGGTTGGCCTTCGCTGGGGGGGCCCTCGCCGACACGGCCGGACGCAGCTCGAGGAAAAGGAGCGTTTGGACACTGGAAGGGGTCCTGGGACCGATCTTGAGCTGCCGATGCAGCCACGCGCAGAGGGGGGGGGGTAGGGGGTAGGGGGGCAGGCTTCTCAGGAGCATCCTGCTTCTGAGAAGGCTCGGGCCTTATAACTTGTAGTTGTACGGCCCGCGCCTTCGAAGGGGCAGCATCCTCCTGCTAAGAGGCCTTCTCCCCCCCTCTCTCTACCCCCTTGCGCGCGCCGCCAGAACTCGGTCTGCTCCGAAGGACGTCGGCCAGGCCAAGGCGACGCTCCAGGTGCTGGAGGAGCGCACGAAGGGTTGCGGCGAAGGGGGGGCGCCTTCCAAAAAGGCCAGGAGGGCCTCCACGAAGTCCAGGGGTCTCTTCGAAGCCCTCCCGGCTCCTGAGAAGCCTCCTCATACGCCCCCAGGCCCTTGCCCTCTAAGATGCGGTTGGAAGGAGAAAGCAACGACATACGGCAGAGGGAAACAATTAGTGAACACCCCCCCTGCCCCCAATGTTCAGAGTTGGCACGCGGGGGGGAGACTGCGGCCGAGGTGCAACTCATCAGACCCACCGCCAGCTTTGAACATTGGGGGAAGGGGGAGGCGTTCACAGATGAATGTGGCATGAGTGTTCGCTCATTTTTTCCGAGGCCTGTAAGCATACTCCTCCGGAGGTCCGCGCGGATCTCTTGGCCCGTCGCTGGACACCCGCCCCCCTCGGCGCGCGAGCCGCGATCCAAGGGCGCCGTCGGGGGCCGCCGCCAGGGGGCCCGGCGCAGTTGCAAGATCTCGGCGTGGACCTCCCAACGTTCGTGGCTACTCCAGATTTTGTAATAAAAGGGAGGGGGTCTGGACCCTCCAAGACAATCCATTTCAGACCTCCCCCGTGGGAGAACCCTCCAAAACATCGTCCCCAGACACCCCAGGCCCTCCAAGATAGCCTGGAAGAGACCCCCCCCCGAAATGAGACCCCCCTCCCTTTATTACGAAATCTGGAGTAAGCCGATGTTTCCCGTTGGACCGGCGCGCGCGCAGGGGGGTGGCGCGGGAAGTGGCCTTCTAAGGAGGGCGGGGTCCGTGAAAGAAGCCTTTCTGAGGTTTTCGAGAGGTCTCCCAGGAAGCGGGGGTGGCCTCTGGCCAGGGGCCCCCGACGTCGTGATTTTTGTTCGATGACATCGGCCCCAAGAGGCCTCGACCCACCCCCCAGGACTTAGTCTTTCGTGCTGAATAATTAGTTTCTGGCGGCCCCGAGGCCTTGCGAGGGCCCCAAGAGACCGAAAACAGCAAACAGCCTTCCGTCGCTTTTTGTTCTCATGATTCGAGGGGGGTTTGGGAGAGGGCTCCCAAGAAGCCGCGAGGGCTTCCGAGAAGGCCCCTGCCCACTAAGAAGCCCCCAGGCCTTCTCGGATCGCCGCCCGCGCCCGCCCTCGCGCCGTCCCGCTCGTGCGCGCCGCCACCAGGTGCTGGAGGATCAGGGGCAACGTTGGTCACCGCCCACCAACCACCCCAACCTAACCCGAAGTCCCTAATTTGCCCTCCATTCCCAGGGGAGGGGGGGGGGGCGAGGGCCTTGGGAACATGGAGCAAAACACGTATGGAACCCGTACGTACCCCCCCCGCCGCACCCGAAATTCGGGTCTTCGGGTTGGGTTGGGGGGGCTGGTAGCAGCCAGTTCGGGGGGGGGATCGGCTCCTGGGGGCGGGCGCATCGACCCCCGCCTGCCCATTGACCCATCGATCGCCGACGGTGGCCCGATGGCCCACCCCGCCCATGAACGTCCAGATTCGCTAGCGGGAGCGCCTTGTCGCCGATCCATCGGCGATGCATCGCCGATTCCAGGTCGACGCGCCCCTGGCCAGACCCCCTCCCCCAGAGAGCACGCGCGGAGTTCCTCTGCCGGTCGGGGCGGAGGGAACGCCTCCAGGAAGGGGCTCAGCTGTTCTGTAGTTGCTTCAGAAATCCACGAGACGACTTGCAACGAATTGCCCCGTTCTCTGGTAGCAGCAGAACCTGCTTCGAATCCTGTAAACTTGGGTTTGATTAGATGTGATATCTTCTAGCTCACGCGCGTGGGCAGGAACGGAGTGAGTTTGCGTTTACCGCACAAGCCGAGCATCGTTGCCACTGCAGGGCGTGATCGCACGTACTTTGCATAAGTAGCTGCAGGTGCGCATGCATGCATGAATCTTCGATTGCGTGAATTTGTCGAGCGAATCATAGCCACCGTGGCAAAGAAAGTTGCGCAATCGCAGCTTGAGAGCTCTTTTGTTTCATCGTGCTGATGGAACGTTGGGGGTGTTCGTTAAAGAATGTGCCCAGGAGGTTTCAGGCCCTGGAGGAGTCCTTATTTGATGCGGACGGCGGTGCTATCCATGGCCAAGCCTCAATTCGTGCTCCACCGGCTTCCAGACACTGACTCCAATCGTTCCTTATCCAATGCCCTCACCGTGCTCTGTGCATTTGTGGAGCGAAGCGTGGCCACCAAGGCTCAACTCCAGAAGCCACCATAAACGACCATGTGCGTAAAGCCAGGCGTAAGAGAAACTGCGCAATCACAGCTTGAGAGCTCTTTGGTTTCATTGTGCTGACTATACTCCGCTCGGGCGGCAAGATCTATACACATCCGGGCCCGGCCCCTGAGCCGCGACCCCGCGGATACGGATTGTTTTGTTCGCGGATGCCCCGCGCGGAACGTATCCGTGCGACCGCGTGTTCGCGGGATCGCGCCCCCGAGTCCAGACCGTGCGGACGTGGACATGGCCACATTCGCCGCTCGTGATCCGCTCCCTCCCCTGAGGAGTGCCACCAGGCCCGCAGGCGCCGCCTCGAGGCCCGTTGCCTCGCGGGCCTCGAGGCGGCGCATCTGGGCCCCCCGTTCTCCCGCGGGCGATGTTCCGATTTTTTCCATGCGCGGTCCCGAGCCTTTTTTTATTGGTGGCGCCGAGGCCCAGTCAGGGCCCCCCCTCGAGGCCGACGACTGGCAAACGACCTCCCGCCGCGATGTTTGCTCGCGAGCGCCGCGCGCGCCAGCCGCTCGGATGCAGGAGGCCTCCGGGCGAGGCGGCGCTGTGCGCTATAGGCACTTCGGCGGTGTGCGGTGCTCGGCGGCACGGCCCCACGGGTCGCAAGAGGGACCCCTTGGCCGGAGTGGCCCGAGGAGGAGGAGGAGGAGGAGGAGGAGGAGGAGGAGGAGGAGGAGGAGGGGGAGGAGGAGGAGGAGGGAGGAGGAGGAGGCGGAGGGAGGAGGAGGAGGAGGAGGAGGAGGAGGAGGAGGAGGAGGAGGAGGAGTCGGTGCAGGCTCACTGGCCTGCGCGCTCGGATCTGGCCTGCTGGCCTGCCCGCGGCCCCCCCGGCAGCCGCGCGCCAGGAGGTCGCAGCCTCGCCAAGGGCCACTCTTGGCGTGCAGAGTTGGGAGGCCTCCTCCTCCTCCTCCTCCTCCTCCTCCTCCTCCTCCTCCTCCTCCGATGCCCAGAAGCACCCCGGTTGCCTCCAGGGTGCCCTGGGTTTCCTGGCTTGCGAGTGCTTTGCGGTGGGAGGCGTGGCGCTCCCACGCCGCACATCCGTGGACGTCCCCGGGGCCTCAAGGCTGGGTGCCTGATGTCAGGCTTCTGGGGGACTGGCCTCCACTGCAGTCGAGCGAGGAGCGCCCTGGGGCCCAGAGACGCCCACGGCGGCGGCGGCGGCGGCGGCGGCTCTGAGAGCGTCCCCGCGCGAGGAGCGCCACGAGGCCCACAGGCGCCGCCTCGAGGCCCGCTGGCTCGCGGGCCTCGCCAGCGCGGCGGCGGGGCGCCGAGGCGCCGGCGCGCCCGCGGCGGGCGCCGCGGGCTCGGCGGCGCGGCGGCGCGCCGCGGGCGCTGCGCGGCAGGTCGGGAGCGGCCGCCGCGCGTCCACGACGACGACGACGACGACGTCGACGACGTACACGGCGTTCACGGCGTTCACGACGTTCACGACGTTCACGACGACGACGACGACGACGACGACGACGACGACGACGACGACGACGACGACGGCGACGGCGGCGGCCGCGGTGGCGGCGTCGACGGGCGAGGGCGGCGCGAGGATCAGCCGCAGCAAGAGCGGGCCGGGCGAGATCGCGCTCCGGGGCGGCCTCCCAGATGGGGTCAGAGTCAGAGGAGGAAAAAGTACCCACAAAGCGTCCCTGCCCTCGATTTCCCTGGCTTGGCCCTCCTGGGAGGCCCTCGCCGCCATCGCTGGATTCGCTCCGAAAGTCTGGTCGGAACGCACCCCGGGGAGAGGTCCGGGGAGTAGTTGTGTCGGTACCGGTTTCCCCAGTAGATGGGGTCGGAGGATCCCGCTGAGATGCTGCTCGACGTGGAGCCCCGATCTTCTCCGCGCCTCCACGCGGACGTCGCCGCTGCATCGCCAACGTCGTCCATGCATCGCCGATGATGTTTCGACGGTGCATCGGCGGTGCAGCGAGGGTCCTCTGACCCCATCTACTCCGACCCCATCTGCGAGGCCTCCATCGTGGGGAAGGTGAATCCTGAGCACCTCCTCCCAGACGTCCTGGCGTCTCGATGAGATCGAGGCCGCGGTCTTCCACAGTCTTCGCCCCCTTTGGGCCCCTACACTTGAACGAAGGATTGCAAAAAAAACGAAGGATTGCAATCCTTCGATTATTTTGCAATCCTTCCTTCGGCCCCGGGGCCATCAGCAATCGACTCGAGATGCAGAGCTGGCCCCAGGGAGGTGGCCGCGAGGTCGGGGGCCCGCGCCTGGGTAAGATCGAGGCGCCGGACGAAGGATTGCGAAAAAAAACGAAGGATTGCAAAACACCGAAGGGTTTTTTTTGCAATCCTTCGGTTTTGTTTGCAATCCTTCGTTTTTGTTTGCAATCCTTCGTTTTTGTTGCAATCCTTCGTTTTTTTTGCAATCCTTGGTTGGTGAGTCCAGTTGCCACATAGAATCGGGGGAAGAAAAACCACTCGGACTGGACAACTGGCGTTCACTAAGCGGCCCTGGGCGTTTCCTGAAAGCCCTGCCCTGTTGGATTCCTTCCTTGGGTGCGTTTACGAAACCGCCTCGCTTGTCGGGGTGGTGGATATGGGGGTGGACTTGCCTTCTAGAGAAATTGTCGTTGTACCCTCTGGCGCAGGAGGGGTCGTTGCCCGGGGCACCCCCTCCTCCCCGGGCGACAGTAACGATCGTGCGTTGGGGGGGGGGGGAGGAGCGGCCGCCACGTGTCCACTTTTGTCCTGTTATGTTGTAGTGGGGTAAGCTTAAGTCGGACCTGTCCTTCCACAGGGTGAATATTCAAAAATAGTCCAAAAATAATATGTGACAATTTTGGAATATGTTCTGATTCGATTTTCGTCCAAAATCCCCCTGTATGAGGACACGCCCGACAATCCCCCTGTATGAGGACACGCCCGACCTAAGGGTAAACACTGGGGGGAGGTGAATCTGTAAAACAAAATACAATAATGGGTGTTCCAAAAAGGGCCTTGCCTTCGAGGATCGGAGGAGTTACCATCTCTTCCTCGGCGGAAGGCGGCGTGGCGAAAGGTCGGCGGAAGTAAACGAGGCCGCCTCCGCAAGCGGAAGGCCGGCGGATGATGGCGGAAGTGAAGAATGCGCCCCCAAGAGATGAAAACGTTTTTGGGTTCAGGGTTCCCGGAATCGCCCATATGAGCGACGCGGAAAAACGGGGTCGTCTGCACCGAGATCGGGCCCCAGGCTTCCCGCGCAAGGCCGCGCGTAAGCGCCCTCTTTCCCAATGTAGCGTACCACGCTGGTGGCCCGCGCAAGCCGCGGCGCAAGGTCGCTATGTAATCTCGCGTGAGGCTCCGTTTCAGGTCGTCGCTCATACGACATTGCAGCCCGCTGGAAAAGTATTGCAGCTATTTTTTCAATTTCTTGGGCCCCCCCGAGCCCCCAGGCTCCCGATCTCAATGTTGAGTCGGCCGCGGCCGACGGCGGAAAAATCTGAGCGCGTGGCGCCCAACGCGAATATTCAGATTGAGGGTCGCGGGAAGACGGACTGCGCGCGAGAGTTGCATTACTGGTCCAGGGTAGCGCAGGCTCGTGCTATACATAAGAACATCCTGTGCACTCCCAGTCCCTCGTCCAGTTGTGGAGGAGTAAGGTCCATCTGGTACGCGTGAGGAAGTGTTCGTCGAATCATAATATTATGAACGACGCTTTTGTCGCTTAGTTGGTCACTCTGCCCGGTCCCAGCGGCGACCGCTTAGATCGCCACCGTGATGTCCAGATCCCAGTGCGAGTTAGTTTCTCCGACAGGCCGTGTACGTTTCCCTCGGTATGTAAACTCTTGCCTCATAATGTGTTGGTTGCCCGGTTTTTCCAGCCCCAACCCCCCGCCTGTTGCACACAGCATCTCTTACGCGCCGCTTATGAAGGCTATCGCGGGGATGTCCGATCTCCTTTTTGTCTTCAAACAGTGTTATGATAAACGACGTAACTTGCTCCCTCGCCTGGGGGACCCGTGGACATCAAGACGGATACAGGGCGAACAGACACAACCTGGGCCATCAACATATTTCCAAGGCGAAAAACTGTCCCTGGGGAAGGGGTCGTCGGGTGGGGCTGGGACGACGAGAAATCCGTTGCGGCACGATCTGAGAAGGCCGCGGCGCCCGGGACATCCCCCAGGACCGCCAGATGTCTCGGGTTCCCGATTTATCCTCGCCCGATGTTCTCCTCGTCCTGGCCTCGTCTTCGGTCGGGGCCTCGCGGGGCCGCGGACTGGCAGACGATCAAACCGCGGGGTGTCTGGGGACAGCTTGTCCGCCCGCGAAGGCCGCCGGCTGTCCACACCCACCGCCCCCCAGAGCTCTGCGACCAGCCGCGAACCCTGTAGCGGCGGCGGGCGAGGGGGGGAAATGAGAAGGAGAAGGCCTTCTCCCCAGACGCCCTCAAGCAATGAGAAGATCACAGCGGAGGTTTTTCGCCATGTTCGGCCTTTGAGAACCCTTACGGGGCCTTTGGACCGTCAAACAACAACTCGGGACGAAAAACCGGTCCCGGGGAATAGGTCGAGACCTCTGGGGGTCGACGTTATGAACAAAATCATTACGTCGGGGTCTGGGTCAGAAGGCGGCGTGACTGCTCAGAAGTCCTCGCGCCTTCTGAGAAGTTGTCTGTGTTATCGGGGAAGGCTCAGAGAACTTGTCAGAAGACTGGGGGACTTTCGAGCCTTCTCAGAAGGCCTTCTTCCGACCCTCCGCGCTCGCGGCCGACTGTAGCTTTGTTGGCCCAATCGACGAGTACTGGACACCCCCGCTGGGAATGTGCGCTTGGCTGCAGACATCCTCCGCGTTCTGAACCCAGGCTGGCGTTTCAGAGTTCTGGCCTCCCTGACTCCGGATCCGCCCTACTTTGGGGAAATTCGTTAGTAGGGCTTGGAATTTCCGCCTTACTTTTCAAGCCCCGCTGATGCCAATCTCCGCCCTACTTTTCTGTTGCTGTTTCTGTGGGTTTCCGCCCTATTTTATACTGGGTGCAGCAATTTCCGCCCTACTTTTTCGGCCTCTTCTAGGTGGATTTCCGACGCAGTTTCAAGTTGGAAAAAAAGCCAAAGTAGGGCGGATCCTGAGTCAGGGCTGTACAGGGGTAGGATTCACGTGGTGAGGCTTCGGGTTGCACGCAGACGGCCTGAGCCTCACCAGGTGGCCCTGGCTGGCTTCAACAGGCCCCCGAGCTTGGTGGGCCCCAGAAGCGGCAGGGCCGTTTTTTTTCACCATTCTCGATGAACAAAAGCGCCCCTTGAAAATGGAAACGCTTAAGAAAACACGGCGACCAGAAATGGCAAGCAAAGCGGCTCCCGGATTTGGAACCGGAGCCAGAACCGGAAGCAAAAGCGGCGACGGAACCCGCCACAAAGAGACGGCGACGGGACAGCGGCAAGACGGAGAGGGCAACACGAGCGGCCCCGTCGCTGCCAGGGCCCACCATGGGCCCCCGAGTAGCCCAGGCCCGTCTGAGGCCCACGTGCGGCTGCCTGCCAAGAGCCCCCTTACCCAGACCCCCGACGTCGTGAATTTTTCATGACGTCGAACCCCAGCTGTCTGGACCCATTCCCCTGGACCGGTTTTTCGTCCTGAGTCGTTTTTTTGACGGTCCCGAGGGCCAGTAAGGGCCCCTAGAGGCCAAAAATAATGAAAAACCTCCCGTCGTGATTTTTTCATAACTCGAGGGGGTCTGGGTAATCGGAGGGCACGACCCTGCGGCAGCGCGTGCGGACCTGCTCCGCCGGGCGCAGGTGGAGCGGCTGCTCGCGCAGTGGAGCAGGCGGCACCGGCGCCGCAGCCCGAAGAGCGCGGGCTGCCGCGGCGCGGCCCGGGGCGCGGGCTTCGCGCCGAAGCCCGCCCGCGTCTGACGGGGCGCGGGCCACGGGCCGCCCGAGTCAGCGGGGCCGAGCAGAGGAGGGTCGAGGAGGAGGAGGAGGAGGAGGAGGAGGAGGAGGAGGAGGAGGAGGAGGAGGGCAAGCTGAGATCCTCCTCGGCGCCAGGCGGTGCAAGCTTCCTCGCGCGGGTCGTCTTTTCTCGCCTGCCGGGGCCGTCGCAGCTCGATGCGGCTCGAACAGTATAGGCTGAAAGATGGGGTTCAGGGCTCTGGCCGTATTCTTCGCGGCGTGGCATCCTTTCGCCACGCCAGATCTCAGGGGACAGCGGCAGATGGTCGGCGGCGAGCGAAGGGGGGAAGCGAGAGCAGGGGCGGGCCTTCTCCGAAGAGCGGTCTGCGCCTGCCCCGCAGACGCAGACGGCTTCGCAGAAGGCGCGAGGGCCTCCGAGAGGTCCCGCCGCCTTCGGAGAGGGCCTTCTCCTGCCCATCCTCCCCCCCCCCCCTCGTCGCCGGAGGCGGGGGCCCCGCGCCGCCACGGCCGGACGCGGCCGGGAGAGCCGAGAGGTGTGCGGGCCCCGGGAGGGGTCCGCGGGGGCCGATCTGGACGCCCGAAATGGGTACGGAAAGAGTAGGTGCAATGCCCAACAGCAGTTCGAGGAGGAGGAGGAGGAGGAGGAGGAGGAGGAGGAGGAGGGGTCGAGGAGGAGGAGGAGGAGGAGGAGGAGAGGAGTATCGAGGAGGAGGAGGAGGAGGAGGAGGAGGAGGATCGAGGAGGAGGAGGAGGAGGAGGAGGGGGGAGGAGGAGGAGGAGGAGGAGGGGGGAGGAGGAGGAGGAGGAGGATCGAGGATCTGGACAATGCTGGGTACAATGCCCAACAGCAGCCCCTGCTCATTTTGAGCAGGATTCGCTGTCCACGCCGCCGCGGCCCGTGTCCATTCGAGACAGAGGGCCGCCTGCCCAACAGCGGCCGCTGTTGGTCTGGGACAACATGTGTTGTTGGGTATTGTGCGCATTCTTTCCGTACTCCAGATTTCATGATAAAAGGGAGGGGGTCACAACCCTCCCAGACGAGAAGTTTTAGACCCCCCAGACTATCCATCAAAGGGCGGCCCTTTGCCCAGACCCCCGGAACCCTCCAAGACAGCTCAAATTAGACCCCCCCCCGAATGTGACAACTTGACCCCGCTTATGGAATCCGGAGTACCCCTTCCGAGCGTCCAGAGCCGACGTGGAGCTGCCGCTCTCTGCACTCTCGCCCTCCTCCGAGGTGGGGGCCGGAGGAACCTCGCGCCGCAGCGTCGGTGCCATCGCCGACGCGGCGTGATCCGGAGCCCGATCTTCTCTCCATCCCGACGTCGCCGATGCCTCGGCGATGCTCGGCTCGGGCGATCTTCGGGGAACAAGCAGGAGCCCGTTTCTTTATTGCTTGGGGCATGACGGGCGTCATGGCCCCCGCTCCCCCCCCCCACTATGACGTAACGCTCCCCCCCCAGTGCGCTCCGGGCACTGCCGCCGTGCGCATTGGGATCCGCGTAGGTGTCCGCGTAGGAATCCGCATAGGTGTCTGGTCCGCAGGCGTCGTCGTCGTCGTCGTCGTCGTCGTCGTCGTCGTCGTCGTCGTCGTCGTCGTCGTCGTCGTCCGTCGTCGTCGCTCGTGGTTCGTCGCTCGTTGCTCATCGTCGTCGTGCGCGCGGACGCGGCTGGAGCCTGTTTTTTAGTCCGGGCCGATGACGGCAATCATCTGGGGGGGGAGGGGGTCGATGACGTCACGTTTGGCGCTGGCGACGTCGGGGAATGCTTAGGCATGACGGAGGACGGGTAGCACGAACATGTAGGTGGCGATATGCACCACAACGCTTGTGTACATCACAGTTCCCGCGTGCACCGCAGCGCCTGTGTACACCACACCGCCGATGTACACCACAGCAGCCGCGTGCAACACAGCGTCAGTTTGTGCAACCGCGCCTGTGGGCACAGCAGCTCCTGCGTACACCACAGCGCCTCCGTACCCCACATCAGCCGTGCGCAACACAGCACCAGTATACACCACAATGCTTGCGTGCATTGCAGCGCTTGTGTACGCCACGGCGCCTGTGTGCACCACATCAGCCGTGTGCAACACAGCACCATCGTTGTGTATAGAATTTCAGAAGGGATCCTTGTGACAACATGGAGCGCGTGTGGATTCCAGAGAAAGCAATGGAAAACAAATCCTCATGGACAAAGGAGCGCCGCTGGAATCTACGAGTCCCCCCGAGTCCGCCCGCATCATCATAACTCCCACTTGCGTCCAGGAGGCTCCAGCTAAACTGGCCGTCCGAGAACCAAGTGGACCGATTCAATCGACCATTCTGCGGTGCACGCTGAGATGCGCACGTGCGTTGTAACGCCAAGCCGCACGACAGGGGGTAAGAAGGAGGAAAAGGAAGAGGAGGAGGAGGAGGAGGAGGAGGAGGAGGAGGAGGAGGAGGAGGAGAGGGAAAAACGTCGCATTCGATTATCAGAACTTTCCTGGCGTGGCGTTTAGTTGTCCGCAGCAGATCCTGACGTACATGCTCCTTCTATCTGTCCTGTGCGCGCAGGCACTGTGGTGTACACCAGCGCTGCGTTGCACGCGGATGCTGTGGTGTAGACAGGCGCTGTGGCGTGCACAGGCGCTGCGGTGCACGCAAGCACTGTGGTGTACGCAGGCGTTGTGTTGCACATGGCTGCTGCGGTGTATGTACACCGGCGCTGTAGTATTCCCAAGTATTGTGGTATACACGGGCGGTGCGTTGCACACGGCTGTTGCGGTGTACGCAGGCGCTGTGGTGCACACGCGCGGTGTGGTGCACGCGAGCGTTGTGGTGCACACAGGCGCAATGGGCAGATCGCCACTTACATGCTGCTCGCGTCGTCGTCGTCGCTCGTCGCTCGTCGCTCGTCGCTCGTCGCGTCGTGCGCGCGGGCGCGGCTGTGGTGCCGGAGCCGCTCGGCGGGGGGGGGGCGTCACGTCATACCCCCCCCCCGCCCTCCCTCCCCCCAATGACGCCCGTCATCGCCGAACATAAAGAAACGCGCTCCAGAGACTCCATCATAAAAACTCGGAGGTTCGCGCGGACTTCTTGGATCGGCGCTCGGGTCCCATGGCGGCGCCTACGGCGCCGCCCCTGGCGCGATCCGCGCGCCAGGGAGGGTGGCTCAGCGCCGATCCGAGAAATCCGCGCGGACCTCCGAGTTTTTATATGTTCGTTCCCGATCCTTCGGCCCCATCTGCTTCGGCCCCCTTCGGGCGGCCTCCAGTAGGCGTTAGCTAGTCTTTTCGCACTCGTATCTCTCACTCTGCCACCTCTTGCGGCCGTTCTCGCAAAATGCCTCTCTGACCTGTCGGTCCGGCATGATGTGCTCATCGTCTGCCAGGTACAAGGATTCGGGTTGACCCATACAAGGAAGTGGTTGCAGTACATTTATTTGGGGCGTGCAATACATTCCGGGGCGCAAATGTATTGCTGGGTCGTCACGTGCAACACATTACTTGCAAGACATTGCAATACAAGCCTCCGGCGCAAAACATTTGCAATACAATATCCCCACATCTATGGCACCACCCCCTTTCAGCTGGCCCCCCCTATTGGGTGTGCTTGAAGGATTGGTGGTGGCGCCCCTGTCCCACGGTGCATCCGACTCGGCAGATTTCTGGGCAGTCGCCGCGCGCAGCGTGCACTGAGACAGCGCTGCTGCCCAACGCTACAAGACTGAGCGCCAGGCGCGCTGCACGTGGGGAGCTCCCGCGGCCCGGGCTTGCCAGCGCGGTTCGTGCCTGCCGGGCGGGAAGCAGCGGTCTCTGGCGCCAAGGGCGGGTGCACCGAGACGAGGGCGGCGTTCAGCCTCGCGCGAGAGGCCACGATGCGCTGCGCTGCGCTGGGCCAGCCGCCGTGCTGCCGTGGGGCGCCATGGCTTTGCAATGCACTGAGATGCTGCTGCAATGCAGTGTTATGCGCAGCGCTGGGTATTGATTGCTGTGCTGGAGATTAGGCAAGGCGATGCGAGGCTGAGGCATGATGTGGTAGGTCATTCGAGTGCTGCGTGGTGATAGAATGGGCTATGATGCGCTGTGCTGCGCCATGCCATGATGCACTGCGCTCGACAATGCAATGCCGTGCTGTGTCGTGCTATGGCATGGTAAACAATGCAATGACATGACTTTTACCGCTATGCGATGCGTCGCAATGAAGTCCTATGGTAGGCAATTCAATCCATGTATACGGTATGCGATAATACGTGATTCATTCGACTCTATCGACTGCTGCTGTGCGCAACCATGCTGGACGGTGCTATGATACGCGCTGCTGTTATGTATGATACTTCCCATTGCACGGTAGCCCATTGCATGGTACTTCATTGCTTTGCATGGCATTGCAAGCGCAAGCCTTCAGCAAGAAGGTCAGCATTAGTGTCGCACTGGCCGTGAATGATGCATGTCTTTACTCCCTGCCGTCAGCCACCCGTTCATTGGTATCAACTGCCGTCACGTAAGCGCTACTTGTTCAACGGTATTCTGGGTTCGCTGTCCCCGCGCGCCGGTTCCTGCTCTCTCGCCGCCTCTGGCCAGTTGTCATCGGTCATTCGCCAGAGTTTCACGCCCGCATGTTCCCTTCAGTTCTTACTGTGACGTCTATTCATCCCAGTCGTCGTGCCCGCTTGTGCAGCTGCCTGCGGCAAGTCCCGCCAGTCGTGGGGGCCAGCTTGGGCCGTCGCGGAGGCATCTTGGACCGTGCAGGCGGCTCTGCTGGCCTGCCCGGGCCGTCCTGGAAGCTTTCCTGGGCATCTAGCACGCCCGGGAGAGCGCCAGGGCGGCGTCGGGACTCCCAGGGAGCCTGGGGGGAGGAGGAGTGGAGGTTGCACGCAGGTGGGTGTGGCTGAGGTGGGGGGGGGTGCCACTTAGAAGACCAGAGGAACCCAACCAGCCAGCATCGGGCATTCGACCACAACTCGACGGGCAGGCGGCCAGGGTGGCGGACACCATGCAGCGGCATCCTGTCCCCAGTGCCAGCTCCTCCCTGGAGTGATCCCCCTCTTCCTCGTGCTCTTTCCCCCCTGTCCTCCCCCTCAGTGCCGTGGGAGAGGGGCGAGCACCAAAACAAGCAACAGAAAGAACATGTCCCTCCCCCCTATCCTGCTTCACCTCTTCCCTGCCCCCTCTTCTTCCTGCTGAGGCTCCTTACGTGCACCTCGGAGAGTATGTTCCTATCCATGTGACCGTTGGGGCGAATGATGCAAGCTTGCTCTGTAGAAGTTGATGCCCATTTTTCGAGGCGGAGGACGGGTGAGGAGAAGGTGAGGACGAAGCAGAGCAGGAGGAGGAGGAGGAGGAGGACAGAATGAGAAGGAGAAGCAGGAGGAGGAGGAGGAGGAGGGATAAAAAGGAAGGAGAAGACGCGGAGGAGCAGGAAGAGAAGGAGCTGGAGGAGGAAAAGCAGGAGCTGGAGGAGGAGGAGCTGCAGGAGGAGGAGGAGGAGGAGGAGGAGGAGGAGGAGGAGCTGGAGGAGGAGGAGCTGGAGGAGGAGGAGCAGGACGAGAAAGGGAGGGGAGCGTGTCACGACGCATCCTTGCAGCCTGCAGGGCAGTCTCGGGCACAGCACTGCCCCGAGGCCGGCTGCCGCCCCCCCGCCCCGCCCCGCCCCCGCCGGAAGGGTCACTGGTCACCGCGCTGCCACGGCGCCCCGCGCCGTTGCGGCGCTTTCCCCCGGGGGCCTCTCCGCCGAGGCCCCCGGGGGGGAGGGCCCCCGGGGCTCCCTCATGGAGGCCTCGGGAGAGGCTTCGGGGGGCGTGCCCCCGCGGCGGGGCCGCGCCTGGGCGGCCTCGCGGCACGCCTCCCAGGGGGCTCTGGCCTCCTGGTGCGCCGGTGCCATGACCAGCCTCGAACGCATCCCTATCCCTAAGGTTGACACGCCAAGAGGCGATGACAATCTTAGGGGTTCGCCCTCAAAAAAGAGAAGGGGCTCCCCAGGGTTGGCGTCGTGACGAGGAGGTGCCCAGCATATAGGGATAGGGATCTGTTCCAGGCTGGTGATGCCAGGGGTCCTCTCAGCACACGTGTTCGCCCGGGCGTGCCCGCCTCGCCCGACCTCCGCCGATGGCGGGCCGCCCGCGTCGGCCCTCGCCGCGCCGCCTTGCGCCGTCGTCTGGACGGGCCTCGGCGGACGAGCGCGCGCCGGCGCGGGCACGCTCCGCGGAGCACGGGCGGTGCCCCCCAAAGGCGCCCAGAGACCTCCCTGTCCACCCCTCGAGCCTCGCCCCCTCGGCCTCGCTCCTCGCTCCGCGGCCTCAGCCTCCAGCCCTCGGCCTCGCTCCTCGCTCCTCGGCCTGGGCCTCCACTCCTCGACCCTCGATCCTCGATCCTGGATCCTCGGGCCCCACCCCGCGGCCTTGAGCTTTGAGCCTCGATCCTCGATCCTCGATCCCTCCACCCCAGGGAGCCTCGGTCCTCGCCCTCTCGGCCTGCAGCCAGGCCGCTCGGCGCCATGCGGCAGCAGCGGGTCAAGATGGACCCCCCCCGCCGGCCTGCCGTCTCCCTGCAGACCCCCCGACGTCGTGACTCCTTCGGTACGCTTAAGTCGGGGGACATTTTAATATCTTGTTTTAATAATTATTCAAAAAATAATTAAGTTGAGGAATATTCAAGAATAGTTTAAAATAGTTAAATTATTTTAATTAATATTGAAAAATAGTTAAGTTGAGGAATGTTAGAGAATAGTTTAAATAGTTTTTTTATTATTTTGTTAAGTTGAGGAATGTTCAAGAACAGTTAAAAATAGTCTTGGGACATTTTATTATGTTTTTTTCCGGCTACTTTTGAACATGTCTTGATGATCCCCATTTTTCTCACAACATCCGCCCGTAGGAGGACATGCCCGACCCAACACTACGTCGACCCCCCGAGGTCCAGACCAATTCCCCGGGACATTTTTTTCCGCCCTGCGTCGTTTTTCGACGGTCCCGAGGCCTGGATAGAGTCCCCGGATGCCCAGAACAGCAGAAACAAAATCCCGTCGTGATTGTTGCACGTTTCGAGGGTGTCGGGGTCTACGGCAGAGTGCGAAAGCCTGCCGCGACGATAGGAGCAGGCGGCGGGCGGGCGTCAGTCGGAAGAGGCGCTGGCTGGCCACTGCGAGGAGTAGCCGGGTTGCGGCAGGGGTCAGGGTGTCAACGAGAAGGAGGAGGAGGAGGAGGACGACGAGGACGAGGACGAGGACAAGGACGAGGTCAGGAGGAGTAAGTAGAGCTGTGACACGGAAAGGATGACAGCGCCCAGCGCAGACCCGAGTGGCCGCAGCTTCGAGGCTTCGGGGTGGAGAGGGCGGCGATAATGTTAACAGCTGCGTGCACCGCAGCGGCGCATGGCAGGAGCAGAACGCTCATCAAGCAGAGCAGAGGGCGAGAGTGCGTGAAGGATTACACATGCGGTCGTGACGGGCGCGCGCTGAATCTTGTCTTCCTCGTGGTGCAGCTCGGGTGCAGGCGCACAGAAGCCATGACCTTCTCACATCTCCAGGTGTCGGGCTACGCCCACACAAGACTGCACTCGCGCTGGGTGGGTTACTCTACATGCGACCATGCTTTGCTGACGTGACGAGCGCACGGGCTCGTGAAAGGCAATGGCGACTGCATCGTGATTAGCTCGCGCTGGGTGATGCCAAAATTCATCGGACCTTCTTCCTCCGAAAGTGACTTGCTTGAAGGATTGCAAAAAAACCCAAGGATTGCAAAAAACCCTGGATTGCAAAAAAACCCTAGGATTGCAAAAAAGACCAGGATTGCAAAAAAAACCCTGGATTGCAAAAAAACCTTTTTTGCAATCCTTCGGTTTTTTTTGCAATCCTTGGTTCCTCAGTGATGGTTCCAGCTTTCAGTGGGGCCCGGAAACGGCAGGGCCGTTTTTTTCACCGTTTCCCAAGCAGCGTCTCTCGAGAAAGGCCAGGGTAAAACACCGGCAGCGGGAACCGGCCACAAAAACAGTTCCAGGATGGGAACCAGAACCGGAACTGGTAGTATCGGGACATTTGGAAGCATTGCATGTGTGTGCGTGTGTGTGTCATGGCGTCACGTTGGGGTCATTCTGAAGTCATCCAGAGGCATGTGGTGGTCGTGGTGTCATGTTGGGGTCACTTTGAAGGCATCTCAGTTTCACCTGGTCGTCTTGGGATCATCTTGTGTTCATGGGCTCGTCCTGGGGTTATGAAGTCAGGTCGTGGTCACCACAATTGTAACTTGAAGCCATGGGTTCGCCTTGGAGCCATCTTGGGGCCTGAAGATCACCCCAGGGAGTCGCATTCGGGTCATCTTGAGGGGTCGTCTCAGAGTGTTGATGGTCATATTGATGTATTGTTGAGGTCTATGTTGGATTATCTTGTGGTGTTACATCGTTGCCATGTTGAGTTCGCCGTTGCTGCCACCTGCCGCCCCCCTTCCCCTCCTCTCCCCTCCCTCCCCCCCCTCCCAGGCGTGGCTGTGCCGGCGTAATATGCTCAGACGAACATATGATGTTTCTACGATGTTTTCTTGATTTGTTCCTGTTTACATTCCAGAGGAACTGTCGCCGTGCATGTTTTTACCCACGTGTTCTGTATCAGGACCAGCCCTAGGCCGATGGGGCGTTGCGTGAGTTCGCCTTGAGGTCGTGGGGTCATCTTGGGATCATCTCGGGATTGTCATGGGATTATCTTGGGGCCATGGGTCCGTCTTGGGATTATCCTGGCCCATCTTGGGATTATCTTGGGGTCATCGTGGGATCATTATGGGATCATCGTGGGGCCACCTTGGGATTATCATTGGATCATCTTGGGATTATCTTGGGGCCATCGGGGTCCTATTGGGGTCGTGTTGCGCTCGTCTTGAGGTTCAGCGCCCGGGGCCGCCGGGCTAGCGGCCTGCGCATGGGCCGCGTGCCGCCCCGGCCCCCCCCCCTCCCCTCCTCGACTGCTGCTCTCTGCCGCTGGGCTTCTTCGATGGGTAAAACAAAAGTGGGGCTATCTCGGATCGACCTTCGGTCGTGCACCGCGAACATACGCCCGTCGCGCATCGGGGCGCGAGCACCGCGGAAACGAGCCTGGGGCATCGGGCTGCGACCGCCGAGCCTCGCGGCTCGATCCACGAACACTTCGATCGCCCAGTGGTTCCGGCGAGCAGGGGGGGGGGGGGGGGGCGAGGTTCAAGGCTTTGGGTGGAGAACGTGTTCTTTTTGTTACTTTTTCGACCTCTTGGGGCCGTCTTCGGGCCCTGGGAGCGTCAAGAACAGACCCACCGTGAGGAACTGCGCGAGATGGATCCCGGGAGGGGTCCAGGGACCGAGATTGAGCGGATTTGGCTTCAGCCCCTTCCTCGTGACCTTTCGATGATCGCGGATTGCGAGTAGACAGGCAAGGATGATCGAGGATCGGGATCACGAGGCCGCCCCGAGCCCCCTGCCCCTCTTCCCTCTGGCCGACTCTGGAAGGGGGCGCGTGGGCGCATGGCAGAGCCTTCCCATCACGTCTGCCCTTGTGGAATTGCATGGCTTGGCGATGCTCCTTCATTCTTCCCTCTCTCATGCGGTGCTGTGCTCCTCCTCAAGGGTTCTACCCAGCCTCTTCGACCTCCGCACCCACCCACACCCTCATTATGCTCTTCCTCACAAGCCCCCTCCCCTCCTCCTCCTCCTCCTCCACCTCCTCCTCCTCCTCCTCCTCCTCGTCCCCCTCCTCCTCCTCCTCCTCCTCCTCCGTCTCCTCCTCCTCGCAGCTTGCCAGTGGCTGGAAAGTTGCACGCTCGCAGCTGACCCTCTCGCACGCAGTCCTCGTGGCTCGTGGCCTCAACGCCTCGCCTCGAGTCTAGCACTGCTCCTTGGCAGCCCGCCCGCTTGGAGCGAGCGAGGGAGAGGACGAGCCAGAGAACCGCCGAGGCCCTGGACGGGGCCAGGGCGGGGCTGGCCCAGACGCACCTGGTGGATCGCGAACCGATGGCTTCCAGGATCGTGCTTGCGGTGCCCTCAAGGGAGGAAGCGTGCGCTCATGGCCACCGCAGCGCCCGGCACCGGCTCGTCTGCGGGCAGCTGAGCGCGCTTGCCCTCACGAGCGCCCTGCCAGCGCCTCGTTCGCCACCCTGCTTCTCCGGAAGCTTCTGTTGTTGGGGTGCTCCTGCTGCTTCTCGGGGCGGGCGTGGGGTCTGTCTGCATTCCTCGGGGGGGGGCGCAGGGGAGGTGGAAGGGGAGATGAGGGGAAGCCGCCGGAAGCCCTGGCTGCAAGGCTGCAGGGCGCGGGACCAGCGAGCAGCATCCCTGGCAACCAGCCGCTTGTCCGCGCGAAGGGCGGGTGGAGGCAACGGCGCGGACGATCAACGCAGAACGCTTCTTGAGGAGGCGGCGTGGGTCCGCCCGGCCCGCCCAGGACCAGTTCGACCGCAACGCGTCGCTGCAGTACCACCAGCAGGCTCCCCCGACGGGGTCGGGCCCGGCCGTTCGACCACAGGTGCCGCTTCGCTTGCGTGCCCGGCCCATCGCCGCCACCGTCGACCCCACTGAGGGGGCATCTTCCCGAGTGAGTGAGTGAGCAGTCGGGTTGTTTGGCACCGCTTTCGCTGCTTTGCCTTGTTCGGCCTTGGCCCTGCCTGGCATCTCTATGTGCTCCTCTGCATTTGTTGGCATAGCTTGCACTGCTCTTGGTGCAATGCTTTGTGCATTGCTTTGCACTGCTGGAGGGACCCCCGGAAATCGAGGAGCCCGAGGAAGGCATTGGCCGAGGAACCTTGTGGGCCCCGAGGAGCCCAGGCGAGGAACCCGAGGAAGGCCTCTGACCGCGTCGTACCCATCGGCTTCTTCACAGGCAAGTAGTTGAGAAGCCCTGAGACAGAGCAGGCCAGCCACAACCGGGGGAGCTGTGGTCCTCACCCCCCTGGGGGACCCATTGATTTCGACACCCCTCTCGAGAGGTCGTCGACGTGATGGGTTCCAGGACCACAGCTCCCCCAGCTGTGGCTGGTCGGCACAGCCCGATTGGGGACAGAGAGGCCTGAGCATACTCTGCGGGTGCTCCGCGCGGCTTTCCTGGGCTGGCGCTGGACCCCCCCTCCCTGCGTGGCGCGTGCAGCGCGCCGAGGGGGCAGCGGTGCCGGAGGCGCCGCCACGGGGGGGCCCAGCGCCCACCCAACACCTCCGCGCGGACCCCCGCTGTCGCTGTCCCCAGGCAGCGAGTCACCACCCACCAAGCCACCCCAACCCAACCCGAAGGCTCAGATTTGCCCTCGACTTCCGGTGGGGGGGGGGGATCGGGAAACATCGAAAAAACACAGGTGGAACCCTTACCCCCCCCCCAACCCGAGATTCGGGTCTTCGGGTTGGGTTGGGGTGGTCTGGTAGGTAGGCAGCGCGCTGGCATGGATGTACATTGTTCAGGAGGAAAAGAAACACACAGACACAATTAATAGTCGACTCCCCAGAAAATATGGGAAAATATGGGAAGTGGGGGGGAAGACAGAAACCCAGAAAATATGGGAAAATATGGGGAATCGTTTTATTTGTGTGTATTTATTTGTGTGTCCCAGGGCCCCTTCAATTGTGTCCGTCGCTCGTCGAGCCTCCTTCCCCCCCGGCTGCGCCGTGCCCTGCTGGCCGGCGCGGAGCTCGGACTCGCAGGACCGGGAGCTGCAGGCTCCCGTCCGTTGACGGACGAGGGGACGAGCGGCGCCACCCTCTTCGGGGGTGGAGGACTGCCCCAAGACCCCAGGACTGCTGGAAGCGCTTCGACAAAGCGTCAGAGCGACAAACGGACAGCCCCGGGACTCCCTCAGGGGGGCGCCAGGACGGCTGAAGGACCTGAGGAGGCCCCAAGAGGCCCCCAAGACGACCCCAATTTCTTCAGTTGTCATTTGTCAGAGATGTAATGTTCCATCCTGTTCTAGTATGTTATGCTGTCGTGTGTTTTGTTATGTTCTCGACGGGCCAGCGTGACGTCCTGACGCCTGTCACGTTAGATACGTCGTCCAATCGGTCGTTGCCGCGCCTGTTTGATGCCACCGCGCTCGGGCGGGCGGGGGTGGGGCGCCTTGGGGGAGAGGGGGAGGGGCCATGGACCTCTCCTCCGCGGACTTTGTATTTGGGACAGTCTTCTTCCTGGAAGGCCAAAAACGCAGGGGAGCTCCTGGACCCCCCTGCCCTTGCCCTCTGGGGCCCTTCTTCAACGAGGATGTTGGACCCCAGGGGAGGGGGAAAGGCTTGTTAAAAGCCATCAAGGGGGACCTTCCGAGCCAACCCCGTCACGCGCGGCACTTGGCATCCCCAGGATCCTGAAGGCAGGTGTGTTGCAGGGCTTCTGAGGGGCTTGTCGTAGGCTTGCGGGGGCCCCTTCGGGTTGCGAAACACTTGCTGAAGAAAAGTGCAGTTGTCCGACGTCCGATCTGTCACCTCAGACTTTGCTCATCTAAGGGGGTTCTCTTTGGGGCCTCTTGGATACATGTTAGGGTTCTAGGGGGTCATCTTGTGGAGGAGAGCGCCGGGGCTTCACGACGTATTCCTCAAGGCCCTTTTTGTTTGCCTCTGGGGGGCGTCTTGGGGGGCCTCTTGGGCCGTCCTGGGGGATTCTGGGGTCGCGTCCAGGCTCTCAGGGGTGCCTTTTAGGCTGACGTGGATTCGTTTGGGGAGTCTCGGATGCCCGAAAGAGGCGAGAACGCGGAAATCATCAAACAGCCAGAGGAGAACATGGTTTTCCCCCGACCTGGCGGAAGGGGTTCCCGTTGTGTGTTCCACTGAGAGGCCTGGGAGGTACAGTCGGGGCCCTGAAGAAGGAACCCTTTTCGTTGGGGAGGGGCTCCGTGTTCCTTGATTGCTTCATAGTTTGCCTTGGGTCTTCCTTTCGATTTCGATGCGAAGTCGACGTTCAACTTGTGGGATAGAAGGGGCCTCGTTCCTTATTTAGGGTTGCTTGGGTCAACGCTCCGACTGTACCTCCCGAAATCTGGCCCCGGCCACGGGCGGAACGCCGGCGGAGGCCGGCAGGAGTCTGGCCGGAATCGGCGCCGCAGTTTGGCAGACGCCCTTCCGGGCGGCATGGGCAGCCCCAAGATGCTCCGTAAGATGGTCCCCGGGTCCCTCCTCCTCCTCCTCCTCCTCCTCCTCCTCCTCCTCCTCCCTCCTCCTCCTCCTCCTCCTCCTCTTCCTCTTTTCCTCCTCCTCCTCCTCCTCCTCCTCCTCCGACTGATCGGACCAGACCATCCCAGATGGCTCCTACATGGCGCAGACAGCCCCCAAGACGCCCCGGCAGGCTTCCCACAGTGGTTTTGTAAGGGGTTCATTGATTCATTGATTTCCTATAGGGTTTTGTAGGTTTTCAGCGTTTTCTCTTTGTCGGCCTCCGGACGCTCCAAGACGGTTCAAGAGGCCCCAAAGAGTACCCCAAAACGGCCTGAGAGGCTCCCAAGAGAGCTCCAAGACGGCCCAAGACGCCCCCAAGACGGCCCAAGAAGTTTCCAAGGCGGCCTACGAAGGCCCCAGGAACGCCCCCAAAGGGGCTGCATAGAGGGGGCAGGGACCGATATTCAAGGCTCTCCGCTCAAGGAACCCCCCAGGAGGCCCCAAGAGGCCCCCAAGAGGCCCCAAGGAGCCTCTAAGAGATCTCCAGGAAGCTCCCAAAGGCCCCCAAGAGGGCCCCGGGATTGCCTTAGAGGGTTCCAAGATGTCTGGAGACGCCCCAGGGCCCGAAGACTGCCCAAAAGGGCTCCAAGATGGTCGGCGACGCCCCGACGGAGTGGCACAGCGTCAAACGGACAACACCAGAGCCACCAGAATGCGCCTTAAAGCGGCACAGCGTCAAACGGACAACATTGGAATCAACATTATCTGGCGTATAGGCATCCTCTCGTTTGTTTTTCTCTTCCTCGCAAGTCACGCCCACTTGTTCTCCAAGGTCGGGGTTCGTGGCAATATCAGGTTTTGTTTTGCTGTCATCCCGAGCCGTGTGTGGACGGCCCTAGGGCCTGAGGGCCCCTGGCGGCCGCAAACGGCCACCCCCTCCCGCCGTGATCCTCTCTCACCACGCGGGCTGCCGCAACCGACGAGCTCGGTCGCTACATGGATCTTGCTTCTGATGCCAGGATCGGTCGCGACCGCTTGCTTCAAGATCCACCGCGCCCGACCACTGGTCGCGACCGATGTTTGAGCCCCTGCGATCGGCCGCGACCGCTTGGGAGTGCCGATCGGTCGCTGCCGATCGCGGCCGGAGAGGTCCGCAGGAGGGAGGAGGGAGGAGGGAGGAGGGAGGGAGGGAGGAGGGGGGAGGGAGGGGGAGGGGGGAGGGAGGGAGGAGGAGGGAGGGAGGGAGGGGGGCCCGCAGCGGTCGCTGGCTCCGGCGGCTCCGTCCATGCTCTGGCGCGAGGGCGCGCACGGCCGCCCTTCTCTCAGCCACGCGCGGAGGGGTGTGGGGGGAGGGGGGAGGGCTTCTTAGAAGCACCCCCTGCGTCTTAGAGGGCGCGGGCCTTACCTACAGATGTAAGGCCCGCGCCTTCTAGGAAGCAACCTCCTGCTAAGAAGCCCTCCCCCCTCTCTCCACCCCCTTGTGCGCGCCGCCGACTCCGGGCGCAGCGGCCGACGACGGAAAGGGCGACGGAGAGGACGACGAGGACGACGAGGACGACGACGACGACGGCGACGGCGACGGCGACGGCGACGGCAACGGCGACGGCGACGGCGACGGCGACGGCGACGGCGACGGCGACGGCGACGACGACGACGACGACGAGGGCGGCGACGACGGCGGCGACGACGACGACGATGACGAGATGACGACGACACAGGAGTCGATATCAAGACCCCCGCGACCTCTCGCTCTGGGAGAGCGTCCTGAAGGCTTCTGGGGGCCACCGTGGAGCCCTCTCCATGGGGCGCGCGGGGCGCGCCGCGGCGTCGCGGCGGCCGCAGCGGCCCCCCCCGCCACCAGGCGATCACGCACGCGCTGGCGCCGCAGCAGTCGCAGAAGCAGCTCCCCTGTCAGCTCGTGTTCCCGGGCGTGGCCCGGCCCGTGTCCCGAAGAAGAAAATCGGGGGCGGAAAAGAGGGGGGTGATGACTAGGGAGGGGGGATACCATGGCGGGGGCCATGATACTTCCCCAGAGTTCATGGCGCCTCCTCTTACTTCATTACGTCCCTGCCCCCCCCCGCTGGGCCGCGCACGTGCCGCCGAGCATGAGTTGCACCCCCCCCCTCTTGGACACCCCCCTCTTGGCCGCTCCCGAGAAAAGCGTTGGTTCTTCTTGCGACTCAGGCAAGTTTAGTTGCATGGCGTTCGCCCCCCCCCATCCACTCAGGAGGAAAAGAAACACACAGACACAATTAATCGTCGATTCCACAGAAAATATGGGAAAATATGGGAAGTGGGGGGGAAGACGGAAGCCCAGAAAATATGGGAAAATATGGGGATGTGTTGTTTTATTTGTGTGAATTTATTTGTGTGTCCTGGGGCCCCTTCATCCACCCCCTCCCACCTCGCCCCTCTTCAGTCGAACACGGGCGCGCAAGCGCCTTTCGACTTGCGTGAGCTCTGTACGTCTTAGTCGTTGGCGGCCTGCCTCAGGTTCCGCCCCCCTCCCCTGTCCATGCAAGTCAACTTGCCAGAGTCTAGAACAAGCAGGCACTACCAACATACTGTAAACTGTTGGCGCTCCGCGCGGATTTCTTGGATCCGCGCTGGGCACCCCGGGCGGCGCCTCCGGCGCCGCTCCTGGCGCGCTCCGCACGCTGGGGAGGGGGTCCAGCGCAGATCCTAGAAATCCGCGCGGAGCGCCAGGAGTTTATGTTTATGCCGCTATTTCTTCTATTTGTCAGAATCGGGAAAACGTAAGACTCGAGTACGCCAGAACTAGGGTCCACCTATACGCTTTCGGACGAGCCCGCCCTGGATGTTTTGACGTCAAATTTCAGACTGGGTCTCGTCATTTTCATGATAGCCCCGCCAGACCAATCCAAGTTCTTCGAACCCCAGTCTTGCGCCTCCCTGACAGAGCCCCCGAAGCTGACACCAAGACCAGTATCGGCATTGTGCCCCCACTGAGGGAAGATGCTCCCGATCTCGGTACTGGTGGTGTAACACTCGGGCTTCTGGTTGACCCTGCCTCCCAGACGTCCGGCGCCTCGACAAGAATCGAGACGGAGGTCTTTCCTGTTTTCGGCATTCCTGAGTTTCGTAAATGGTGTCCGAGCAGATGGGGTCGGGGGATTGCGCCGCCTGGCCGAGGCATCGGCGATGCGGCTCCATGTGCAGCCCAATTTTCTCCATGCCGACGCGGCCGATGCATCGCCGACGTCGCCGATGCATCACCAATGCATGGGCAATGGATCGGCAGTGCATCGGCGATGTGGCGCAGACCCCCGACCTCGTCTGCTCGGACCCCGCGTGGGAGGCCTCTGTCCTTTCGGGGCACTGAGTGAGGAGGAGGAGGAGGAGGAGGAGGAGGAGGAGGAGGAGGAGGAGGAGGAGGAGCCCCGGGGCCGCCAAAAAACGGCTCGGGCTCGGGCGTCGGTGCCGGAGGAGTGGCCAAGAGGCCGGGGGACCGCGTCTCGAGCAAGCCGAGCCGCCGGACGTCCGGGGGCTTCTTCGGCACCGCTCCCCCGCCGCCTCTCGGGTGGCCTCTCTGGTCTCGCCTCCCGCCGCCCCTGTTCCCGCTGCCTCTTCCGTCCTATAGAGCGCCTCCTCCTCCCTCCCTGCCGGTCTCGCGCTCCCGCGGGCCCCCCAGGCTGGGGGGCCAGGGCCGATGGCTTCGGAGGGTCGCGCCGCCTCGCCGACGAGGCCCGGTCTCGAGTCCGACGCTTCTGGCTGAGCGACGGCGATGCGGTGCGGCCCTCCGGTCCCATCTGCTCCGCACCTGGGAGGCCTCCACGTCTCCTCTCCTCTCCCCCGTGTTCCGTATCTCCCCAATCCCTACCGTGTACCTCCCCCCGACCCCCTTGTGTTCCATCCCTCGCTCTCAGGGGGACATCCCACCTGTGCTGACTCGCGCATGCGTGTTCTGTCCACTTCAGCTCGCTGCTTATGGTATCGGTGCAGCTATTGTCCTAGTGCGTCAGTGCCCTCTCTCGATCGTCTGCCCTTGTCCTTGATTCGTCTCTCATCGTTTATGTTGTTGCTGACCCGTGTCGGATCCTTCGTCTTGTTACATGTTATGAATTCCATGGAACATCTCTGCGCAAGCCACGGCCAACACCTGATAGAGTGCATGTATCTGGACTGGCTCGTGGGTGTCGTGTGTGGCACAAGGGATGGCGCAGCACAGAGGACGAACAGCTTGCGCGCACCGTCCCGACGAGCCTCGGGTGTGATCTCGGCGGCGCCTTGCTCTGAAGACTTGCTTCGATGGCGGGGGGAGTTGAGTCCAAGGCTCAATGGCCAGAATGAACACGTGGGCAAGCGGCAAGAGGGATGACTCTGCCACTGAGCTGCAATATTTGCGCTACGATCTCCAGGTTCTGCAGGTTGTAGTAACATGTAGCAGCAGAGTTACAATGAGTTGTATGCGTGATCACACCCAGGCACGGCGACTAGATCAGCAACACATGCACGTAACGCTCTTCCTGCCGTCTGCAATTATTCAAATTGGATGTTGTTGTTTGTCAGCCTCGGAGATCTAGTTTTTGCAGCCATGTTCTTCGAATAACGACAGCACAACTACTCGGGCCGAGCTTGTGGTTTCTCGTCGAGTCGTGGATCTTTGGAGCACACTCGCGAGCGACGAACATTTATCGTTTCCCGCGCGGTTTGGACATCTAGGTGGGATCCAATAGATACACGATCCGATGGTATCGTTTTTTGCGCGGGGCATGGCCCTAAAGCCGCCTCCGTGGGGCCGCGTCCCAGGAGTCGGCGACCACGAGACCGCGGCGCATGTATGTGTTTCCCGTCCACATCATGGGGAGGGGGAGGCAGCGCAAGCATCCGAGAGTCACCCCGCAAACGTGTGCAGTGATACAGAAGGCAGCTGCGCTACCACAAATATCTGGATCTCGCCCGCGAGACCGTGGAGATCGATGTGTAACCCGCAGCCCTCGTCGTCCTCGTCCTCGTCGCCCTTGCTGTCCTCCTCGTCGTCGTCCTCGTCCTCGTCGGCGTCGCCGTCCTCTTCGTCGTCGTCTTCGCCGTCCTCCTCGTGGCCGCGCGGCGGACCACCCTTCTTGCGCAGCCTCCCGCAGCTCGCACCGCCCTCGTCCCTCCCGCGCCCGCAGGTTCCCCGACGACACGATGGCCATCGGCTCGCCGGCCGTCGCCCGGAACGCCCTCTTCCCCACCGAGCGGGACGGGACGCAGGAGAGCCCGCCAAGGGCAGCGCGTCGCCTCGTCGTCGTCTTCGTCGTCGTCGTCGCCGTCGCCGTCTCGTCGCCCCTCTCGCCTGTCGCCTCGCCGCCTCGTCGTTCGCTCCTCCCTCTGCGCCCGTGTCCTCGCCGTCCTCCTCGGAGCCCCCGAGCCGACGCCAGGCGCCCCCCCTGGCGTTCCCTCGCTGGTGCCCGTTGGGGGGGGGGGAGGCCACGGCGCCTCCCGCGCCTCCGAGAGCGCGGGCCTGCCCCGGCAGTCCCTGGGGCCTGCGGCCCCTGGGCCGCTGCACCGCCAGGGCCGCGTTCGGGGAGGGTGCAGCGGGGACCCATGCCAAGAAGCGCCCTGCTTGCCTCCTCCGTGCCCTGGGTTTCCCGGGTGCCGATTGTTTTTGCGACGGCAGGCGTGACGCTCCCCCACCAGGAATCAGTGGACGCCCTGGGGTCTCAGGGTTGGGTTTCCCGTGGGAGGTTTCTTGTGGACTGGCCTCCGCTGCAAGCTCAGAGGGGGCTTTGCAAAAAAACCTTCGTACGAAGGATTGCAAAAAAACCCTTTTGAACGAAGGATTGCAAAAAAACATTATTGCACGAAGGATTGCAAAAAACCCTTTTTGCAATCCTTCGTTCGTGGGAGGTTTCTTGTGGACTGGCCTCCGCTGCAAGCTCAGAAGGGGGCTTCGGACTGCGCGCAGGCGGCCCCTCCCAGGCCGTCCCCGCCGGCCTCCGCGGGCCCCTCGAGCTGCCCCCGCTGGCCGCAGCGGGCCCCCCGAGCGGTGCAGGGCGGCTTCACTGCCCCAGCCCTGGGGCGCGGAGCGCTCCAGGGGGCGCCGCTGGCGGCGGCGCCGGGGTTTTGAGACCGCCCCGGCCTATTTTGGGGGCCTGTTGAGGCCAGCTGGGACTAAGATAGAATATTATACTCCGACGGAAGGGCCCCGCACGAGAATCCGTGTAGCTTGCCCTTGCCCTTTTCCGCCTCGCCCTGACGGACACTCTCCTCTCGCCCGCCGTTCTGCCCTCACCTACTCCCCCTCCTTCTATTTCTTCTCCTCCTCCTCCTCCTCCTCCTCCTCCTCCTTCTCCACTTCCTCCTCATCATCACCCCCTCCCTACCCCTTCCCCGTCCTCGTCCTTCCCCTGCTTCTTCTCCGCGCGCTCCTCCACATCCCCCTGGTCGGGGCAAGCAAATCGATTTTCCTCGGCGCCGTCGCCGCCGCGGCCAGAGCGCGCGCATTCCCCGACGGCTGGTTCGCGAAGCCTTTGGGGCAACCCCGCGGGCCGCCTGGGCGCGGGGGCAGGCGGTCGGGACAACCCCGGGCAAGACGCTCCGCAAGGGCGTCACCATCGACTGCGCGAGGGACGAAGACGCTGGCCGCACGGGCATGTCGGACGACCAGTGGTGGCTGCACCTCGACGTCATGCTCTCCCGCGCCACGCGTATACGGAACATGCTGATCCTGCGGCCGCCCTCGCGCGAGTTTCTGGAGCGCGGGCCGCCGGCTTCCTTGCGGAAGGCGCTCCTGGAGTTCGACAAGAGAGCGGAGACGTCCAGGGATGAGGCCGAGCAGCTCGCCTCAGAGCTTGGGTTCATGCCGCCTCCCGCCTGAGCGCGGTTGCGCCCCGTTCGAAGCCCGCGGGGTTGTCCAAGCGGCTTGGCCCGCGGGGCTGTCCCAACCGCCTGCCCCCGCGCCCCGGCGGCCCGCGGGGTTGTCCCAAAGCCTTCGCGAACCAGCCGTCGGGGAATGCGCGCGCTCTGGCCGCGGCGGCGACGGCGCCGAGGAAAATCGATTTGCTTGCCCGGAGCAAGGGGAGGGGGAGGAGCGCGCGGAGAATTGAAGCAGGGGAAGGACGAGGACGGGGAAGGGGTAGGGAGGGGGCGATGATGAGGAGGAGTAGAGAAGGAGGAGGAGGAGGAAAAATAGAAGGAAGGGAAGTGTGCGAGGGCAGAACGGCGGGCGAGAGAAGAGTGTCCGTCAGGGCGAGGAGGACAAGGTTAAGGACAAGCTAAACATATTCTCATGCGGGGTCCTTCCGTCGGAGTAATTACAGGTTGCCGATGACCCGCTCGGATTACCAACATGAAATGCGGGACCCATAGGGAGGGGGCTCCCGCCTGAGACTTCCTCATAATTCACTCACAGACGAGGCTCCCGCGTGATAATTCCTCAAAGTTCAAGCCTGGGGGGCCCAAAAGATGGGCCAGTTACAGGTTGCCGATGACCCGCTCGGATTACCAAGATGAAGTGCGGGACCCATATGGAGGGGGCTCCCGCCTGAGACTTCCCTATAATTCACTCACACACGAGGGTCCCGCTTGATACTTCCTCCAAATTCAGGCTTGAAGAGCCCAAAGGTGGCGACAGTTACAAGTTGCCGATGACCCGCTCTGATTACCAACGTGAAATGAAGGACCCATAGGGAGGGGAGTCCCGCCTGAGACCTCTTCCTTACAATTCACTCACAGACGAGGTTCCCGCTTGATCCTTTCTCCAAATTCAGGCCTGAGAACCCCAAAAGTGACGACAATTACAAATCGCCGATGACACGGTCGGACTACCAACATGAAATGCGGGACCCATAGGGAGGGGGCTTCCGCCTGAGATTTCTTTATCATTCACTCAGACGAGGGTCCCGCTTGATATTTTCTCCAAATTCAGGCCAGAGGAGCCCAAGAGTGACGACAGTTACAGCTTGCCGATGACACGTTCGGATTACCAACATGAAGTGCGGGACCCATACGGAGGGGGCTCCCGCCTGAGACTTCTTCGGATGACATAAGCGAGTGACGGCGAGGAGTGAGTGAGTGAGTGAGTGAGTGGGTTGGTGGGTGGTTGGGTGATGATGATGACGAGTGGTGGTGAGTGCGATGATGCTTATGATGATGATGAGGAGGAGGAGAAGGAAGAGGAGGAGGAGGAGGAGGAGGATGTTGTTGCTGCTGATGATGATGGTGATGCTGATGATGATGATGATGATGATGATGATGATGATGATGCTGATGATGATGATGATGATGATGATGATGATGATGATGATGAGAGGGAGAGTGAGAGCGAGGGGAGTGAGGAGGATATCATGCGCGGAGGGTGTCCAGAGAAAACAAGAACCCCACTTAGGTTGTGGGGAAAACTTCCAGAAGGCGCGAGGAGGGCTTCTCGGAGGTCCCGCCGCCTTCTGAGAAGGCCCTCTCCTTCTCATCATGTTCCCCCCTCGCTCGCCGCCGAGGCCTGTCCTGCTCCTGCCCCGATGTTTTGGCCCGAGGCGCCCAGGAGGCCTCCAGAGTCCCGACCAGGCCAAAACGGCGTTCGCAAGAGCCTCCCCCCTCGCTCGCCGCCGAGGCATGTCTCGCTCCGGCCCCGATGTTTTGGCCCCCGGAGGCCCCCGGGAGGCCTCCAGAGAGTCTCTCGACCGGGCCGACGAGGCGTTCGCAAGAGCCTCCCCCCGTCGCTCGCCGCCGAGGTATGTCTCGCTCCGGCCCTGATGTTTTGGCCCCCGGAGGCCCCCGGGAGGCCTCCCCAGACCCCCGACGTAATGATTGTTTCATTACGTCGACCTCCAGAGGTCCCGACCCTTTCCCCATGACCGGCTTTGCATCCTGAGTCGTTTTTTGAGGCTCCCGAGGCCCGGTGAGGGCCCCCGGAGGCCGAAAATTAGGAAAAACCTCCCGTCATGATTTTTTCATTACTCGAGGAGGTCTGGGTCCAGAGAGTCTCCACCGGGCCGACGCGGCGTTCGCAAGAGCCCCCCCCCCCCCTCGCTCGCCGCCTAAATTAGGCGTCGAGGCGGTCTCGCGGGCTGCTCGCCCGGCCTCGCTCCTCGCCCCGGCGTCGGCCCGCACGGGAGAGAGAAAACACACAGGGAGACGCCACGAACCGTCGTCTCCCCGGAGGAAGAGATGGGAGACACTAACCCCAGGAAGCATTTAAGAACCCCCCCCCTCCGGCAAATCGATAACCCTTCCGCACCCTGGAAGCGCTACCTCGCACCAGGAGCCCTCCTTGCGTCCGTGTGCTAAAGCTATCGTTCGGTTATTTCGGCCCCTCGGAATATCGAATAAAAAATGCGGTGCTACGATATCGCCGGGGGGGTTCTTAAATGCTTCCTGGGGTTATGGGAAGGGGAGGGGGGAAGGCGAGACCCCCGAAACTGCATGGGACGATGTGGGAACTCCTGGGATCTGTGCCCATAGTCGTTCGAGTGTCCCTGGGCCCCCAGCCCTGACTCCAGATCCGCCCTACTTTGGCTTTTTCTCCAACTGAAAATTGCGTCGGACACCCACCTATAAGAGGCCGAAAAAGTAGGGCGGAAATTTCTGCACCCAGTATAAAGTAGGGCGGACATCCACAGAAGCAGGGCGGAAACAGCAGCAGAAGAGTAGGGCGGAAACTGGCACCAGCGGGGCTTGACAAGTAGGGCGGAACTTCCAAGCCCCACTGACGAATTTCCCCAACGTAGGGCGGGTCCGGAGTCAGGGAGCCTCGGGGTCATGGGGCTGGGGCCCCCCGCCTGCCCCTGGCTCGGCTCGGGCAGGGCGGCCGCCCCTGGAGCGCCACGGCAGCCGCGGCGGCGCGCGGCGGGCTGCCACGTGCTCCAGCGCGGGTCGCGCCGACCTCACCGGGAGCCTTGACTCCAGATCCGCCCTACTTTGGCTTTTTTCCAACTTAAAATTGCGTCGGAACTCAGCAATTCAATCGGCACACGTGCCTCGTGATGCCGGAATCCCACGACCGCCTCGTATTTCGCGGTGGCGGGGCCCATCGCTTCGAAGGGGAAGTCGGGGACGTGGCGGCTCAAGTCGATGCCAGGCAGGAGGCGGCATGCGGTGCTGAGAAAGAATCCACCTATAAGGAGCCGAAAAAGTAGGCCGGAAGTTCCTGCACCCAACAGAAAGCAGGGCGGACATCCACAGAAGTAGGGCGGAAACAGCAACAGAAGAGTAGGGCGGAAATTGGCATCAGCGGGGCTTGAAAAGGAAGGCGGAACTTCCAAGCCCTACTTACGAATTTTCCCAACGTAGGGCGGATCCGGAGTCAGGGAGAGGGGGCGGCTGGGAGGCAGGCCCGCGCGAGGCTCGGCTCGAGGTTTTCTCCAGGAGCCCGCGCCGGGGCGCTGGAGCGACCTCTGGGCGCGCCGCTCTCAGAAAGCGCGGGGGGGGGGGGGGGAGGGGGCCAAGCGGCCAAGCCCGCGCGAGCATAGGCCGCTGCCGTCGCATCGCATGCAGCGGTGGGCAGGCGGTGAACCAAAGGTTTCTCTTGCCTAGAGCTGCGCTGGAAGCATCCGGTTCAGAGGGGCGGGGAATGGCCCAGTGAGGGGGGGGGAGGACATCGACCGCCCGTTGCCTCCCCCTACACCACCCCCCCCCCCCACCACACACACACACACACCACACACACACACACACACACACACACACACACACACACACACACACACACACACACACACACACACACACACACACACACACACACACACACACACACACACATGTCGCCGACCTGAGCTGGGACATTCCATTCTGCTTGAGAACATTCGATTCCTCGATCGGGGCAGAACGCCGATGTATCGGCGATGGTTTGTCGATTCCAGGTCTATGGTTAAACCCCCTCCGAGCCAGTAGAACAGCATCGTGGCACGCCATAGCAGCGCATGATTGCGGATAGATCGTCCCAGGACGTGTAATAGAAAGGTGTGCGTGCATGTGCGTGTCTGTTGCGCGTTCAGTAGCCTCCGAGTCTCGAGTCTACCAGCGAGCCTACCGGCTGCAATGTCAGCGTAAGCATTCAGCCACCCAGCGACGTCTTCCGTGTTGCTCGCAACCGAATTGGTCCCATAATGATCAGGTCCGAAGAACTCCGCGCTCCCGTCCATGAGCTCGCGCTGCCCCTGTGCGAACCTGGGCAGTCTGGCTCCTCAAAGTCGGCTCAGCTCCGTCGGGTGGTCGCCGGTGTCGGAGAAGTTGGGCTCGGCACACCACCCCCGGTGGGCAGGCCGCCTGCGCTCCCCAGCCGCGACGTCCTGAGGAGCTGTGGTGAGGGGCTCGCTCCGATCCTGATGGAGCGTGATCCGTGCGTGCGCGCGTGGGTCTTGCGCGTTCAGTGGCCTCCGAGTCTCGAGTCTACCAGCAAGCCGAGTGCACACGAAGGCGTCGGCCTGGGCGAGAGCTGGATGCACGTGTGGCCGCAGGTCTGTCCAGCGCTCGGCCCTTCACGTGGCAGGGTACGCGGGCCCTTCACGTGCGTGTGCAGCGCGCGGCCTCCACGTGTCCCGCATCTGGAGCGCTCCAACATGGGCTTTGCCTTCGAGGATCGAAGGAGTTGTCATCTCTTCCACCGCGGAAGGCGGCGGAAGGTCGGCGGAAGTTCACTCGAGGCCGCCTCCGCCGGCGGAGGCCGCGCGGAAGGGCGGCGGCAGGCGGCGGAGGTAAGAGACGTGCCCCCCACGAGATGAAAGCAAAAGGGTTTGGGGGCTCAGCGTTTCCGACACATCGCCCGCAGCTGAGCATCCGGCCATGTGCGCGTCCAGCTTCCCTGCACAGGGAGGGGAGGGAGGGGAGGGGAGGGGAGGGGAGGGAGTGGAGTGGAAGGAGGTAGGAGGAGGGGAGTGGAAGGAGGTAGGCGGTAGGAGGTAGGAGGGTGAGGAGGAGGAGGAGGAGGAGGGTGAGGAGGAGGAGGAGGAGGAGGAGGAGGAGGAGGAGGAGGAGCGAGAGCAGCGGCGCCAGCCACAGCTCGTGAGAGCGCTCTCTCGGCCTCGGCGCGTCGCCGCCCCGGGGGTGCAGCGCCGGGCGCTGGAGGGGGGGGGGGGCGCGCAGGTCGGGGGCGGAAAAGAGAGGGGTGATGACTAGGGGGGGGTGGGTATCATGGCGTGGGCCATGATATCTCCCCAGATTTCGTGGCGCCTCTTCTTGTTTCATTACGTCCCTGGCCCCCCCGCGGGGCCGCGCACAGGCCGCCGGTCATGATTTGCACCCCCCCCTCTTGGGCACCCCCCTCTTGGCCGCTCCCAAGCAGGAGACCGAGGAGGAGAGGCAGCGGCGGCTGCTGCAGAACGAGCCGATTGTGGTGGGCAGGGGCCAGGCTTGCGTCGGGCGTGTCCCTATGCCGGAGGATTGTTGAAACATAGTCAAAAACAGTCGTGGGACGATGTTCTCTGATTTTTTATGTTTTAAGCATTGTTCCGTTTTTGATGCATGTATCAGTACTTATCATAAAGGAAAGCAGTCTCCCCAAATCCGCCTGTAGGAAGACATGCCCGATCTCAGGCCAGGCAGTGCCCCGGGGGGGGGCACCCGCAGGCTGGGTCCACCGGGGGCGTCAAGGTAATCGCGCATCGCGCGTGGCGGCCTGGGCCGGAGAGTTGCCCCTGGCCGGGGGGGGGCCCCGCGAGGGCGCACAGATAACCGCGCGTCGCGCCTCCTGTGCCCCCTTCTCCTCAACTGCGATGGCGCTGGTGCTGCGTGTTTCGCACTATCTATCTCTCTCTCTCGCCCTCGTTGTCTCTCTCCCCCACCCCCTGTTCTGCTTTGGGTCTCTCGCCGTTGGAGGCAAACACAGCTGGACGTGTGCCAGCGGCCAGTTGGACACACGACGCAACTCGGAATGCGATTCGACCCAGCGCTGTTTACGCATGGCGCTGTTTATTCGTGTACGCCGCATGGTCGTTGAAGTGCTATAGTTTGATCTGTACGCGCCGTTTTTTACACCGACACGGATTTTGCGGGGTTCTATAAGGCGCATGTGTTTCTTTCGTCGCGTGTTGACCGCGTTTTGTTGCCTCCGGGTCCCCCGACCAAAGACATGTGTCAAGTAAGGGGAACCCAACCCGACCCCGAACCCCCATAATTAGCAATTGCTGAACGGACGTGGGCTTTTATGAAACAGCCCGTACTGATTGGTTCCTTCCTTGGGTGCGTTGATAAAGCGACTCCCGTTGCCGGGGGTCCTCATTATGACGGTGTTCAAATTCCTGCTCTCTAATGTTGTAGCGTTCTCAGCAGATCGCTGATCTGATTATACCCCCTTTCATGTCCAGCCCCCCCCCCCGCAGCTGTCTTAAAGCTGCGGGGCGCAACAGATGCCAAGCTATCATGTGATCCTGGCTCTCTGCGCTCGCTTGGTTTGGGCAAGCTAGATGGAGTTCCTGCTCTTGCTTGCCCAAGCACTTCCTGTTGCCAGCGCGCCGTTGCTGTTGTAGCTTCTTCCCCCCCCTGCCAGCGATCAGCTTTATCGTGTCTAATACTTGTGCTTCTCATTCTTTTGGGCGGACGTAGTGCCCGCTCGGCGCGCTCGATTCCGAAGATTTAGGCAACAATTGGAGAGATCAAGGGCAGGCGGGAGAGAAGCAGCACGGACGGTACGGAGATGGACCAAGAGCGGACCGAGAAAGGAACCATGCGAGTCGTCCGTGAGCGAATGCAGAGTCGAGCCCATACCTCTTGACGCAAAGCGATCATATTTGCAAGCCTCTTTCGGCCTCTCCGCGCGCTCACTTTTTTTCGGGAGGACGAGATACCAAGTGACCACCACCGGCCCACCTTCGGCGAGGTCTGTCCACGATGTCTCCCCGAGCTGGAGGTCGGATGAGGGGGGAGACGCCTCCAACCGATGAGAACATTCCTTGGTCACTCGCGATGGTGGTGGTGGTGCGGATGTTCTCTGCCCCTGTCTGAGCGGAGAGGTGAGGGGAGGTGTATACGTCCCTGTCTAGACAGCGGCGGGCTGGAGCCAAGCAGCCTCCGCGTCGTGCCTGCCGGGCAGCTTGCCCATCCTCAGGGCCTCCGCGTCCCCGCCGCCTCGCATCGTGCACGCGTCGCCCTCACGCTCGAGCCGCACCGCGGTTCTCGTGCCTCGACCGTGCCCCCTCTGCGGGCTTCCAGGGTCAGTCTTGGAGGGGTGGCTTCAGCGGTCTGGCTTTGGCGCGATTTTTTTAGGGGGGGACGTCCCTGGGGCCGCCTGAGGGCCTCGCGGCCCTCCTTCGGAGCCTGGGGACCGTAAAGGTATGTCGGTGAAGATACTCAATCGGAGATTGTCTAGCAGTCTAGCATTACCGTCCCACTGCCTTTGCCTAGGCTCAGGGAGCGCGTTCCAACACGATGAGTCACCGTAGTACGCCCTGCGATCGTCTCTATTTGAGGCCCATCGACCGCTTCAAGGCATCAGCGACGCCGCCGATCATCCTCGACGCAGTCAACCTGGCGCCGACCCCTGAACGCTCGGAGTTGATCAGAGTGGAGTCGTGTGCCCGACATGCACAGCGGCCGATCCTTCGGTTTACCCACCAAGCCTCATGGGGATTTCGACCATGCCTGACCCCTGTGCCACGACGTCGCGAAAGTGAGGCGTCAGCGCTGAGCAGCGTAAGTTTTATGTCTTCCACTGCGCTGGAAGAGTTGAACTTTGTTTGGGGCATCTTGGGCCGGGTTGGCGAAAGTGTTCACATCGTGACGGCGAGAATCCTCGGGAGGAGTCGCACCGAACTCCTGCAGCGCACGCAGGCGCCTGACCACCCAGGGAGTCGGGGCCTGCGCCCCTCGGAGAAAAAATCCCGATGGGCCGACACAGCTCACCCAGTGGCCTTCAGTTCTTGGGGCTCTGGCCAAGGCGACGAGCAGAGTATAGTCCACGCGCGCTATCTGACGTGCTTGATCCTATGTCGCCTCAGGGGTTTCGGCGAGCAGGGTACATGCCTGTTGTGGCTGCTCCTCGTCCCGCTCTTCCCGTTCCTGTCTCCCATCCTCCACAGCACGTGCCCCGCTTGCTCGAGCCCCCGGGGACAGCACACTATCTCATTGTGCACGCCTGTACTTGTATACGCATGGTGCCATGCATAACTCTACATTTCTAGGCATCGATATCTTGAGTGGGTGCTGGTTTCTGGGATCCACAATGCCAATGCTCCGTATGGATGGTGAGCAGGCGTGCGAGCGCCTTTTGATTGACAGGGCAGTGCGGCCCACAATGAATCATGATGCTGTTGGTGTGTAGACCTTGTCAAGCCCATGCGTACGAGGAACGATAAGAGGCGACGATGCCGATCTTCAGATCGAGCTCGTTCGCTTGGTTGCGCAACGAGAGGCGTTTCTGATAAAACTGTGAAGGGAGAGGGGTGATGCTGATACACATCCAGCTTGGGTGATAGATACATTGATATCTGTAGAGCTGTACGTGTGTATTCTTCTTCCTGTACTTACAAGCCGGGGTGCGGGACAAAAACATCCCCCCCAAGGCCGAGCGTCGCCCAGGAGACAGAGGAAGACGGCCTCAAGACGGCCCAAGAGGCCCTCGAGACGGCCCAAGAGGCCCCCAAGGACGCCTCCAGAGGCCTTCAGGATGGCCCCCAGAAGGCGAATATATACCCAATCCGTCTGGGAGAGAGTACCTGTTGCGTTCACGACGGCCAAAGAGGCCTCCGAGATTGCCCCGAGACGGCCCAAGGGGCCCACAAGCAGGCGCCAAGACAGCCCAAGAGGGCTCCAAGACTGCCCCAGGACGGCCCCAAAAGAGATCCACGAGGCCCCCGAGGGCGCCTAAGCCTCCAGCGCGACGCCGCTCGACAGCGATGATTACCCAAGAGGGGAGACCGGCACCCCATCGACGGTGGGTGAGGCCGCGGCCGGGCGCCCCCCCAACTAGCCGAATCGCCAATCCGCCACGTCAGCCGACTCTGGCGGTTGTCTCGTCAGGGCGACGGCCGAAGGACACGGGTACCACTGCCCCCCATCGAGCGTGGTGGGTGGGAGGAAGAGCGGACTGCGACCGCGGTCGCGTCCGACGCAGTATGGCGCACGGGCGCGCCGCGCGTCGCATTCGGGCCGAAAGACCCGGGTACCATGCCCCCCTCCAGCGTGGTGGGTGGGAGGAAAACGGATTGCGACCGCGGTCGCGTCCGACGCAGTATGGCGCACGGGCGCGCCGCGCGTCGCATCCCCCTTCCCCCAGAGTTGGACCAAAGCTGCGCTAAACAGAGGACGCCATCCTGGGCGGACGCCGAATCCCAGATTGCCACGATGGGCAGGTGGGGCGCCACGTTTAGAAAGGAGAATCTAGGTCTAGGCGGCGACGGCGAGCACGGAGCTGCGTGACCGCCACCCAGGCCCAGACGACGGGCGGCGACGACGTGGCGATTGGGCGGCGACGGCGAGCACAGAGCCGCCAGACCGCTACCAAGGCCCAGACGACGGGCGGCGACGGGGCGGCGACGGCGAGCACGGAGCCGTCAGGCCTCCATCCAGACCCAGTTCCTTAGAAAAGGAAGCTGATCCCCTAAGTGCAAGCACTGTTTGGGGATCAGTTTGTAGCTGTAGATGCCGAGGGGGAGAGGGAGACAGACAGAGAGAGAGAGGTACAGGAAACAAACAGAAAGAGAGAGAGAGAGAGATGTAAACAACCCCAAGAGGAAGAGGATAAAGAGCGATAGATAGAGATAGAGAGAGAGAGAGAGCGACGGGGGGAACGAGTGTATGGAAGCCGATCGTGGCTCGATCATTTTAGGGCCACTCCGCACGTGGTCCCGTGCCAGCAGTGTGGGACTGTTCATGGGCCAGTGTTCGGCGATCCCTTGCCTGTCGGAGCTTGGCCGCGAGCTCTCCAGCGAGGAGGAGGCCACCCGCAGGCTCTGCGCCCCTCCCTGCCCGCCCGGCCGCCGGGAACACGTCTGGGGACTCTCCTGACAGCTGCTGCCACGGGCCCTGCTTGAGGCGTTCCAAGACTTGGCCCTGCCTGCGACGATGGAAGGAGTTGTCATCTCTTCCTCGGCGGAAGGCGGCGGAAGGTCCGCGGAAGCATGTAGAACGAGGCCGCCTCCGCCGGCGGAATCCCTCGGAGGCTGGCGGAAGCTCGGCGGAAGGCGGCGGGAATGAGGTGTCCCCAGGAGATGAAAACAGGTTTTGGGATGCAGGGTTTCCAGAATCGCTCACTTGTGCACACATTCCTTGTCCATCGAGGTGCTGTCACTTCGTATCACCGCCCCTGTTTGTGTTGCACAGGGAGGGGGCCTCATGGCTTCCCCAGAGACCTCCATGACCCCCCCCCCCTCCTCGGGAGCGCTCCGTGTGGCTTCCTACCGAGACTTGTCCTTT